TTACTCTCAGCAGTATTTTCCCCAGGATTCTTGGATATGACTTAATTTAGTTTTCATCTCCTTCTGAAATGTACATAATAGTGTTAAGAACCCAGACTACAGCTCAGGGAGATCTGCTAGACAAGTAGTAAATATGGCGCTTTATCATCGCAGTCTTAGGATAGTTGTTTCCGCGTGTCTTCATTCTGTCCTTTAAGACTGCGTTTTGTATTCCTGTAAGTGTTTTTGCTGCACTGTGGGTGTTAAGCCATCATCGAATGTATTGAACATCAACCTGTCCTCATAAGCCCTGAGTACCTTCTGAGAAGAGGCAGGTCTCAACTTCAGTAACGGAAACTATAGGCAGAGAGATTTCATTCAGACGGTAGTATTTTGGACCTTCGCAGTGTTGTTTTGGGGCACACTGCAGCGCAGAGCTCCACTAAAAAAGCACTCAGAACTTACTTACTTTGTGAGTTGGCGTAGGAGCCTGTTTCCATTGACGTTCCGTGGCTGATTCTTTTCCTGTGATGGATGAAGGCGCATTTCCTCTTTCAAGGTCGGTAAGCCCTTTTGGTTTGCCAGACTCTGTACTAGGCACAGTGAGGATATCGAAGAAGTGAGGATATGCTCATTTCCTGTTATCTGATATGTCTTTGAAATCCCATTTCTTCTTGACCTCCGGTTCGGGAATGGTGGTCTCGATTTTGCATCTCCAGCATTTCGATGTTCTGGAACATTACTGTTACAGGCAACATTCAGGTCCACATTGATTACAATTTCTCTTTCACAACTGAGTGGACCCAGTTTCTTGATTTTGAGGGCACTTCATCTCAGGTGATATTTCCTCCTTTCTATCTTAGAAAATCCTTAAAAAATCTAGCACTTTCTTGTAAGTGGAATCTTATTAGCTGCTTAATGATTTGGCTCATTAAATTAGGATTTCAATTTCTAACTAGTATTAGAGTTTACCTTGAGTCCTATTGTAGAATTTATCTGATTTACCTAAATCAAAGACTTTGTTTTAGACTTTTCTTCTGTCACCTTTCGCTTAATACTTTAATATTTTTATTAACACTTTAATATTTTTATTTTCCTATTTCATATCAGGCCATAGGATCTGAATGAGAGGGATATAAATTTAAAATTGAATGAGATGTAATCAGAACATTTCAAACATGCTTTCTTAAAATGCATTATAGTTACACTGAACACCACGTCTATGTAAATTAGCTTTTGAGTCTAAACATCTCAGTTCTCTGGCATGTAGACTCTGGAAACATAGTTATCATGTAATATATTTTTTTCTCATGTGAAGGAACAATTGTCCTATGTAGATGGCTAAGTTTCCTGTGGTACAAATACAGAAAAATTTTCAAGGTCTTCTGGCACAGAACAAGTAGAATTAAAAAACTATTTATTATTACAAGTAAATCTTAATCACCACCAATGATTTTAGACCTTCCTGTCAACCGTTTCCAATAAAACATAAAAATGAGAAGTTAATTCTGACCTCAATTTAGGCCAAGCTTCATTATTGTAGGAAAAATGCATGACACTGCAGTTCATAATCTGCACTCCCACAGGGAACTGATCTACTCGCTCGGCTTTAAACATCCTTCTGACGCACGTGACTCCCAGGTCCTGTCTTCCGTCTCATCCTTCTTATTGAGCTCGAGTCCAGGTTTCCAAGTGGCAGCTTCAAACGCAGCACGTCGTCTGCTGCAGAAACTGAGCAGGTTTTTGTATCTGCGTGATGGGCACTTGGAATTTGGTGGACACCTGTCTTCTCATGTTCAGGGTTTTCTTTTTTGTATTAAATTTGCTAGAACTTTCCGAATAAAAAGGAATAGCAGCACTCTGTCTCCTCCTGCGTGCTGTTGATAAGTCTTTTAGTGCTTCCCTCTTGCCATGATTTTGTCTGTTGGCTGAAATTAATATTTTTTCTCATGCTTAAAGAAAGGACTTTCCCCGGGCTTGGGAACCAAGCAACCACGGTTCCATCCCCAGTCAGGGCACATGCCTGGGTTGCAGGCCAGTTCCCAGTAGGGGACACACAAGAGGCAACCATAAATTGATATTTCTCTCTCTCTCTCTCCTTCCTTTCCCCTCTAAAGATAAATAAATAAAATCTTAAAAAAAAAAAGAAAAAGAAAGGACTTTCTGAGTTTATAGAGCTTTGGCCCTCACCCGCAGCTTTACTGAGGTATAATGGATAAAATTGTAATATATTTAGAATGTACAACATCATTATCTGATATATGTATACATGGTGAAATGATTACCACAATCAGGTTAATTAACATATTTATCACCTCACATGGTTACTTTATTTTTTTGGTGAGAATGCTTAAGATCTCTCTTGGCAAATTTCAAGTATTCAATACAGTATTATTAACTGTAGCCACCATGCTGTATGTTAGATCTTCAGAATTTATTCATCCTATGACTGAAAGTTTGTATCCTATGACCAAGACTTCCCCACTCCCCAATTGACTTCTTGTTTTCTGATTCGAGTGCCTTTTATTTCATTTGCTTTTCTGCTTGCTCCGGCTGAGCTGTCCAGTACCATGCTGAACAGGAGCAGTAAGTGTGGGTCCCCTTGTCTCGTCCCTGATCTTCGAGGAAACACTTTCAGCCTTTTGTCATCGAGGATGATGTTACCTATGGATTTGTCAGATATGGCCTTTATTATGTTGAAGTATGTTGTTTTGTATGCTACTTGTTGAGAGGTTTTTTATCATAAAAAGATGTTTAACTTTATCAATTTTTTTTGTTGGACTCTACTGAAATAGGAGCTGTATTATTTTTATTTTTTATTTTGTTAATGCGGTGTATTGCACTTATGATTTGCATCACATTTATGTTTGATTTGCATCACATTTGCATCCAGGAATAAATCTTGCTTGATCATTGTGTATGATCCTTTGAATATATTGTTGAGTTTGGTCTGCTACTCTTTTCTTAAGAATTTTTGCGTGTATATTCATTAGGAATATTGGTCTGTAGTTTCCCTGTAGTGTTCTTTTCTGGCTTTGATATCAGGGTAATGCTGACCTTCTAAAATCAGTTTGGAAGTGTCCTCTTTCTCTCAAGTTTTTGGAAAAGTTTGAGAAGAATTGGCATTACTTATTCTTTAAATTTTTGGTAGAATTCACCAGTGCAATCATCTGGTCCTGTGTTTTTACTTATTGGGAGGTGTTTGGTGATTGATTCGCTCCTTACTTGCTGTTGGTCAGTTCGTATTTTCTCTGTTTTCATGATGTAAGAAGATTGCACTGTGTTTTTAAGTGCAGTCATATTTCATATTTTATCAAAGTTATGATAACTTTATAAAATTATTTGAGAAGCCATCTATCTCTGACTTAGAAATTTTAAAAATGGCATAAGAATTATTAGTTTCTTGATATTTGAAATATTTTTCAGTGAAGTCAGTTGAGCTGGACATTTTTTGTGGGAAATATTTTTTGGTATGTATTTTCTGATTTCTTTCACCATTACTCCTGTGTTCAAGTTTTCTGCTTCTTGAGTCAGTTCGCCGATTTTGTATTTTCATCCTTAATGACTGATGATGGTATAGATCTTTTCATGTGCTTTTTGACCATTTGTGTATCTTCTTTGGAGAAATACCAGTGCAAACCCTTTGTCCATTTTTTAGTGAGATTGTCTTTTTATTGTTGATGTGTAACAGTTCTTTATATATTCTAAATGCAAGTCTCTTATCAGATATAGTGTTTGTAACTCTTTTCTCTCCTTCTGTCAACTACCTTCCCTTTCCTGATGGCATCATTTGAAGCTTTCAACTTTGCTGAAGTTCAGTTTGTCCACTTTTTCTTTTGTTGGTATGTTTTGGGTGCATATCTAAAAACCACTGCCTTAACCCCAGGTCATGAAGATTTACTCCTGTGTTTTCTTCTAAGAATTTTATCATTTTAACCCTCCCACCTGGATCTGTACTTCATTTTGAGTTAAGGTTTGTATTTGGCATGATGTAGGGGTCCAACTTTATCCTTTTGTATATAGATGTCTAATTGTCCCAGCATTCTCTGTTGGAAAGGCTGTTCCTTCCCTATCATCCACTGAATTTTAATGTTTACAAGCGTTTTTGCTTTGGAGCACAATTAGTGTCTTTGCCTTTGATTTAAAAGATGAGTTTAACCCATTTATGTGTATTGTTATTGCTGATAAATTTAGTCTTTGAAATATTATTTATATCTTCCAATTCTCACATTTCCTTTTTTGATTTGTTTTACGTGTTATCACTCTGTGTGTAGCCCTTTAAAACACTGATTGCCTTTCCTTCAGGCTTACAGAGTGTTTTTGTTTTATTTCTTCCTGCTGAGAGGAAGACACTCTTAATAATATCCTTTTTATAAACCACGTGTGCCAATAGTGTCATTGCTTGAGAGTTACATTTCAAGTTGCATTAAGAGTACGTATACAGCCCTGGCTGGCATAGCTCAGTGGATTGGGTGCCAGCCTGAGAGCCAAAGGGTCGCAGGTTCAATTCCTAGTCAGGGCACATGCCTGGGTTGCAGGCCAGGTCCCCACTGGGGGTGTGCAAGAGGCAGCCGTGCATTTGTGTTTCCCTCCCTCTCTTTCTCCCTCATTCTCTCTCTAAAAACAAATGAATAAAATATCTTTTTAAAAAAGGGTAGGTATACAGTTCATTAGCATAAATGTAGATGATTGTGTTATGAACTTTTTAGAGACAATGAAATATGATGGCAGATATTCAGGGGGTTTGATTAAAAAATGAAATGTCTAAAATTAATATAGGGTAATGATAAACATATTAGACATAAATATGACATTATTGCTTTATTTAATGACTGTTTTGTTACTTAGCCTTATATAATAGCTATATTTTTTACTTCTGCAAAATCATTCTGTGCTTAAAATATGTATACCACTGAGGCTCAGTGAACTATGCATAGCAAGATAGTGTTTAACCTTACTACAAGTATAAATGAAATTAAAGCTCTTGAAATGTGTTTTTCTGTTTTTACATTTTAATATAGGAAGCATATTCTTTAATAGAGAAGAGTGAAGTAGAACAAAATACCTTATATTCATATCAGAAAAATGTGGAAAGTTCAAAAAGAAAGAAGAGCAGAATCCCTCCTCCACCTGTCCTGCTGTCCCGGACTTACTGTTCTGTGGCATTGAAACCTGCCCCCTTTAGTTCAGACGTTAAGGTATGTTGTCCATTATGACCTCACCTCAGGCAAAGCAACATAAGTACGTTTATGACTATAATGATTGATACTTTTATTGCTCTTAATTAGGATTTGACTAGTCTTATGTATAAGCACTGAACCCTGGGATTAGCATTCTGGTGTTTTAATTGTGTTTAACTTCACGATCTTTTATTTTGATGCTATTTCCCTGTACGCTCCATATAGTCCTGCTATATCCAAATGTATAGTAAAGAGACACAATAGCAAAGCATTTCTTAGTGTCTCTGTCTCCATGATATAGTCATATGCTGACATTCCAGTCTGATGCTGGACGAGGGTATAAGTTACTCTCAGAGCCAATGATGGAGATGAGGGAATGTGGGGATGGTGAACTTAGAGGTCCTTTCTAAAGTTCTTCCAAGTAAATGGAGGTGCTTCTAATGCAAACAAATGACAGTTTTAGCCACGCTAGTTTCCTCACAAGCATTTGATTCCACCTAATTTATATTTGAAATATGACCTTTTCCTCTTTTGGGCGATCAGCAACATGGTCTGTTATTTTTTTAAAAACACAGTTTACATTGTATATCATTCCACACAAGTTTCAGATATGCAGCCAAGTGGCTGATTTTGTGCACTCTACAGAACGGGTCTCCCACTGCCCCAAGAACCCAACCAGTCCTCCGCCCCCCCCACCCCGTTACCAAGACGACGTTGGCTGTGCTCTCCTGCCACAGCTGCGTCTCTGTGGCTGTTCTGCAGCTCCCAAGTTTTTCAGTCTGTTTAGAGAATAGGGGTCACAGATTCTGGAAAGGTAGCATGGAATTAAGACTGGATAATTTACCAAGAACTTTTCCTTGTTGTTTTTCAAATGTTTTAGTTTATTTGACCCAAATCTTATTTTTATGTATTTCATTTTTTTATTGTTGTTTAAATACAGTTGTCTCCATTTGCACCCCACCATGGCCCCCCACCTCTCGCCCTCGAACCTACCCTCTTTGGCTCTGTCCATGTGTCCTTCATACATGGTCCTTGATGGCCCTTCCCCTATTTTCTCCCATTACCCCTCTCCTCCTTCACCTCTGGTTACTCCCAAAGTAGTGGTTACTGTATTTCATTTCACTTCATAATGCTTAGAAATAGGAAGACATAAGTCTTATATTTTACTTGTCATTGTTGGACTCGTCACCTAGCACTTTATGTTGAGTTCATGTACGTAATACATTCGAGTTGTAGGCGCCAGTACCTGCTGTTACCTACCGACCAGCACTAGGTGGTGCTGTGGGCTTAAACACATTTTCTGGGTTGAGGATTCAGCCATCTTTTGTTTTATCAAAATCACCATTAAGGTATTCATTTCATTAAAATCTGTTTTAATAGTTGAAAGTGCTGATGTTATTTATAAACTTTTATTTCTAAAGTCAGTGGTGATTTGTTTACAGTGCCATTACTGTTAGGTAGATTCTAATCACACATTGCTTCTTACGATTACACAGACTAAGCTATTTTCATCTGTGGAACAAAATAAAAGGCCTGCTTGTAAATATGCTTTAAGAGGGAATTTCACCCTTTAAATTCCAGTTGATAAATAGAGCTTAACCTAGAACAATAATGGTCTAGGTCAGAAACATAGTTTTTCTCCCCCATACCCCCCACCCTGCCGCCCTATGGTAAAGGGTACTCTTTTGCATGGGAGGTCAAGGAAATTTAGTTTCTATTTTTTGTGAGATTTATTGCATTTCCCTCCCTTTTCTACAGCTTCCAAGTTTCTTCAATGTTCCCTCTGTCCTTTGAGTTCTCCTGCCTTTGCATAGGGCTCCTTAATCACATGAGGAATTGTTTTTGGAAGCCTGCACCAGAAATTCTTATTCACTGAGGCTATGCAGACTTGGGTATATGTAATTTTTTTAATGGTTGATTATGTACAAAGCATATCTTTAAAAGTGATTCTCCTGCATAGTCAGAGTTGGGAACTACTTGTACAGGCAAGACATAATTAGAATTGTTTTGCTGACCCAGAAGAGGAGATAGCAGGCTGAGCTGTAAGAGTCCTTCTTACAGCTTCTAGACAATTGTATTTCCCTGTTCCTCCAGCATCCCATGTAATTTGGGAGTTGAAATGCTGTGAAGTGGCATTTATGAGGAAAGGGAGGGATGCAATGACGACAGTTCCTCTATCCCTAACCCCTGGATGGTATGGCTACTAACAATGCTGGCCCCTAGCTATCAGCTTGCTCCCTTTCCTTATAGTGAGATTAGTTCACTACCACAAGGAATTGCCATTATTTTGACAGCTTGGCAAAAGGACCATTGACTAAGCATTTAATCGAGTTTAAGCTTGGTTGTTTTAGTAGAATATGCATGTTGCTTTTAGTTTCTGCCTATATTTAAGAATATTGAAAGGATATCATGTTTCAGAAAACATATAAACTAGAGAAGAATTCTAGCCATATTCGTACGGTTTTATTACCCCAAATCTACCACTTTTTCTTTCAGGCTTTTTCACATGTATTTTAATATTTTATCTTAAATACTACGATTTAGTATCTTGCTGCTTTTTCCATTAACTTTTTTGTCATCTATTATTAAATAAAATATGAAAATCATTTCAGTGCTGGATCTTTTTTCCCATCAAGATGAAGTCATCTTGGGAGTCACTCTCTGCCACGATCTGACCCCGGGCGAATTATTAAACATCTGTGCATCTCCATTTCCTGTGAAGCAAAGTGACAGTCATAATCCCGTCTTATAGGGATGTTGTGAAGATGAGAAAGTATATGTAAATTTCCTAACAATTCTCAGCCCATAGGGACTTCTCAGTTAGTGGTAGTTAAAAATAATTAATAATGAATAATGTTTTAGTCTTGTTAGTCCCAGGGAAACTAACGCCGTAGTTGCCTTCTTTAAAAAAGATCAAACCAAAGCACTTTCGTAAACTTAGACGTCATCTTTTAAAACTTGCACAGTTGTACTTTTATTTAGAAAAGCATTTCTTTGCCGCATCATGATTAAGGGGATTGAATGCCTTGTTAAACAGACTACGGATGCCGGGCTTGTGTCTCCCCTTGGGCAGGTGTCGTGGTACTGCATTTTGGGCTGCAAAGCAGAAGGAAGCTACGGAAAAGTCAGACTAAACAACAATCATCTCCCGAACTCAGGAGAGGCGGTATGTCAAGTTACAAAAATGTCTAAATGTCAGGAAATCTTACGGAAAAAAATCTCATTTACCGACAGTGTTTTTCCCATGTTATGTCATCCTTTCAATGAATTTTGCTAATTTCAAATTGAATCTGAGTAAAATTCAGCAGTAAATGAAAAAGGGTTTTTTTTTACATATGAAGTTTACTCAATTATATAAAGTCATATTACTTTAACTTTCACACATAACTTGAAATATGTTTTTGTTAATAGATACCAGCTGATGGTAAAAGCATTTTTGAAGTGAAAGGTTTAGAAACCAATGAAAAATACGTCTTTGCGATTGCTGCTTATTCTTCTAATGGGAAGCTTGTGGGTGACGCCGTCGGGGAGACAACGAAGCCCATTCTGGTGTACCCGCCTCTCTCTGCGGTCACTGCTCGCATGTTCCTGACGCAGGTAGAAGAGATTTCTGCTGACTGTTTTGCTTTATATGTTTTTCCACTGAGCAGTTAGTTACTAAGTAATTTCTGATGGAAAGAAAATCACAACAGGTATTCTAAAGCTCCTGTAATACATGTTTTCTCATTATTGCTGTTTAGTCTCATAAAATAAGAATCATTCTTTCTTAGTGAGTTTGCTTTTTATAGTAACATTTTTTTTCTGGATTATAAATGTTAACACACATTAATTTGAGACATTTTGTAAAATCCTGAAATGCACAAAGAAAAAAAGGGATGTTATCTGTTGTCATTCAGAGAAGCAGTTTTTAAGCTGGGGCGCCTTTGGCTCCCAGGAGACATTTTGGGTTATCACTGTCTCGGGGGCAGAGGCCAGGGCGCTGATAAGCATCCTGCACTGCAAAGGACAGCGAAGGACCCTCAGACAAAGAACTATCCAGTCCATAGTGTCAATAGTGCCAATGCTGAGAGATCCAGAGATATCCTGTCATTTGTGTGTGTGTGTGTATATATGTATGTATACACATCTGTGTATGAATTTATGTATGTGTAATTTTAATCACATTCCTTTATATTCTGCTATTTTTATTTAATCTGTAACAGACACTTTTCCATTCTATTAAATTATTCTTTTAAAACGTAATTTTTAATAACTACATGGTGTTCTCTATCTTAGATCATGGTTTATTTAGTAATTCTTCATTGTTGGACAGATGTATTTGCTTTCCAGTCCTTTGCTATTACAAGCAAAGCTGTGATGCACATTTTTTATTTAAATCTTTGATTGCATTCATGATTACTTTCTTAGGATAAATTTATAGAAGTAAAATTTCTGGCTTAATAGGGGCAGACAGACCTGAGTTTAAATACAAGCTCCTCCCCCCAGCTGGTGTGGCTCAGTGGATTGACCACCAGCCTGTGAACCAAGGGGGTCGCTGTTTCGATTCCCAGTCAGGGCACATGCCTGGGTTTTGGGCCAGGTCCCCAGTAGGAGGCGTGAGAGGCAAGCACATATTGATGGTTCTCTTCCTCTCTTTCTCCCTCCGTTACCTTCTTTCTAAAAATAAATAAATAAAGTCTTAAAAAAATAAATAAAAGCTAATAAGTAAATAAATAAATAAGTAAGTAAGTAAGTAAAAGCTCCTCACACTAGCCATGTGATACTGGACAAATAAGATTTCATCTGTGAAATTGGAGTAATAATAGTAGCTACCTCCCAGAGCTATTATGAATATTAAGTAGAATTATTGCTGTCAAATGTTTAACCATCGCACTTGTCACAAAATAGGCACTTAATAAATATTATTATTGTTTTTAGTGGTGGGTGTACTCAGCAATTAACATTATTGCTGAAATGATTTCCTGACTTGAAAATTGTCATCAGTGAATAGGATACTAGGAAGAGTGACTCATTGGCCTCAGTCTCAAGCATCTAATTTTAAGCTTGTTATTGACTGCAGAGCTGATGGCTATTCTAAATTTTAATATGTCTTTATTATGCTATTTTTCCTCTTAATAGTTGATTGGTATTATAAGCTAAGATTTTAGTGGCTTTTTATATTGTCATATTTTTCAAAGGAAATTAAATTGAGAGAATTGCTAGGATTTGTCTAGCATTGGTTTAGCATGTCATACTGGCTCATGGTTTTCTGGGGTTTTGATTTCTTTGGAATCTACTGTACTCCCTAATTTGTAATGATAGAGTTATTTTAGAGTGAGGAACAGAGTCTTTCATCAAGGCCTAATTTTTCTCCAGGGAGTGGTTTGACTCCTGGGTTTCATCTGGCAGAACTTTCATTGAAAGTTAATAAAACTAAATCCCAGCTATACTGCTGGGGTAATGAGAAGCGTCATAAAGTAATGACCTGTGTGTCTTTATTGATACTATATTTGAAGTACTGTAGTTCATTTATGACAGTTTATGAGCATTCTGTCTCATAATGTTAAATGGCCAAAGCAAAATTTTCTCACTTTGTAAATCTCCTTAATTTATAAAAGTTTAAGCTCTTAGGTTCTAACAAGTAAATATACCTTTCTCTTGGGAATTACAATCTGTCTTTATGAGAGTGGTTAGTTTTTAGTTTCAGGATAATTCTGTTCTTTAAAAATATTATTAATATTCTTATAGTAAGATAAGGAGATATTTCACTAAATGTCTATTATTAACTTGGCGTGGGATTTTAGGTTGTATTGTGCTCACCATTAATCTTTACATATTAATAAATTCAGGAGAATCTTTACTAGGTTTTCCCTTACTGTAGGATTTAGCCAATCTGGCCAGTTTTTTGAGAAACCTTTATGAATAGTATATTTTCTGTGGATATTTTTTAGCTTTCCCCTTTTTTATTTTCACATTTTTATTCTTCCCCTTTAAGTTGGGAATGACTAGACGCTATGATACCAAATGCAGAGAACTAGGTGTCTGTGAGCCGAATTTTTAGCACATTGCTTGGTCTCTGTTTCCCTATCTGTAAAATGGTTCTGCGATGAAGTGCCGTGTTAGTGCCGCATTATTGAACCATTACATCAGGTCGTGAGTGGACACAGTGGCTGGCTGAGAAAAAGAAATGGGGACTGTCATTTATTAAAAAGCTGTTGTGTGACATAGGCATTTTAAAATTTATCATTCCCTTTATTACAATAACTCTGTGAAGGGGGCATTATCGCTTTCATTTTACTGTCGAGGAGACAGAGATTAATTTAATTCTTCCTCTGCCAGTTCCAGTTTATTCCAGAAAAGGTATCTCAGGGAGGGTAAGTAATTTTCCCGAGGTCACTTGGGTAGCAGGTGGCAAGCCTGACACCTGAGCCAGCTCACGCCTTCCTGCTGCTCTGTCCCGGGTCCCAGGAAGTCGTGTGTTCAACATCGAACGTGTGCCCAGTTCTTCTAGGGCCCGCCTGCCTCCCACCTCTCCTCTGCCTGGGTTTGGAGCTGTTCCTCGGGCCTTGATGATCAGCATTGACAGTAGAATTCAGTGTTGGGACGTGAATGCTTTGTCAGCAGTCACAATGGTGGCAGGAGAAAGGGAAATAAAGTTCATATGTTTTTTTCCACTTCATATATGAATTCATTGAAATTGATTGGTTACTAGATGTCTACCTTTTGGTTATGACCACTCAAATAATAAAAAAAAAAAAGCTACCAGGTAAGAAAGATAGTCATCCCCATTTTTAAGGCCCTTTAAGAAGTTTCAGTTCTTCTTTCCCATTTCATCCTCTAAATATTACTACTCTCTCTACTCATCCAGTTATTAATGAATTATTTCGTCAATGTCTGTTTTGTTTTTTTTTGCCAGGTCCTATGCTAGATGTCATCTCTTCTTCTTTTGAACTCCCTCTCTCTCTCTCTCTTTTTAACTAATCTCATTATCAAAACAATAACCCTTGTTTAGATAATTTTGAGTTATGGCTTCAGTTAAGACTTTGCAAGTAAGGGAACCAGCCTGGCTTGCAGGGAACGCACCCTGAAAAGGCTGCCAAGGGCAAGCAGCTCTAGGTCTCATGCCTTTGGTTCTCTTTATGTAGCTACTTTCTTTTCCTTTCTGCAAAAGACTGAGTCTCTTTATCTCTCTATTTTTGGAGGAAAAGTGGCAGCTCCTGAATTTTTATAGATCCCTCAATTTCATCGATAAACAGAGACCAGCTAGCTGGCTCCTAATCTTGATTCCAAATTCCTGGGAAAGAGACTGCGATAGGCCTGCCTAATGTAATATAGAGTCTGACCTCACTTTTGATGTTTGCCCACTCACTTGGTTTTAAACCTCACCCTTCTTTTTTTCCTTTGGACACACACTTCAGCAGGCTGACAAGGAGGTCTATGGGCTTACCTTGTCTTTGGTGCCAGCACGAAATTGAAACCTCCCAGCTGGCAGGAGCTCACCTAATTCCTATTCCCCAGCCACTAATCAAGTCCCCACCCATTCCTTCTGCTTTGTCCAAGCCAGTCCAGACCTGCTCGTGCCTGCCAAACTCTCCCTAGAAGTCTCTTGTGTAATAAATTTTCTCTCAGATTGTTTAAGCGTGTCCAGGTCATGAGCCCTGACATCAGAACCAAACACAAGGTGGGGGGTCCATTTGCTTTGAAGCGGGGGCCGTAAAGCACTCAGGTTAGGTCAAGCACTCACCCGGGGGCCAGTCAACTGTGTTATAGCACAGTCCAGCCTCTGGGTGTCCTCTTCTGTGGGTAGAGGGAAATTATTAGGAAAAGATGCACTCAACACATTGTTTAATTTACTCAACACATTATGATCGAGTGCTTACTCTGTACTAGGCATTGCTCTAGGCTGGTGATGTCAAACTTGAGTGTGCATCAGACAGCTCTGGAGTGCTAGTCGAACAGATTGCTGGGTGCTGCCACCAGAGTGACTCCCTAGTCCGGGGTGGGGCCTGACGTTTTGCATTTCTAACAAGTTCCTAGGGATGCTGATACTGATGGTCACTGAACCATACTTTGAGAAGCACTGTTTTAAGCGAAGTGAACAAAATGCTATGGTGGGAGATAACTAATAAACAATGAGCATAGTAAATAAATAAATAAGTTATCTACTATGTTAGAAGATGCGTTCCATGGAAATAAAGAATATGGTAAAAGGAACAGGAAATCTGAAGGGGGGAATGGAAGGTTGATTGCAGTGTTAAACAGAGTGATCAGAGAAGACCTCATCTAGAAGGTGAGATTCGAGCAGAGACTTGAAAGAAGTCAGGGAAAGGCTCTTGGAGGAAGAACATTCTGCAGAAGGAGCTAGAGCAAAAGCCCTAAGCTTTTCAGAAGTGCACCTGGTATGTTTTATAAATATAAAGGAGGCCGGTATGGCTAGAGCAGAGGGGCCCGTGGGGAGTAAAGAATTGATCAGAGAAGTGAAACTGAGTGGGTGGGTCAGAAGCAGATCCTGAAAAGACTTTTAGGCCATTGTAAGAACGTTGGCTTCTACCCTGAGTGAAATAGAGGGTTTTGAGTAGTAGCAGGATAGAATGTGATACGTTTTTAAAGGCTCACCCTGACTGCTGTGTTGGAAGTGGACCATAAGGGGGTACGGGTGGAAGCAGGGAGGCCTCTCTGTTGCGATAATCCAGAGAGAGGAAGGTGGCGTGGCCAGAGTGATAGAAGTTGACGTGGTGAGAAGTGGTCAGAGTCTGGACATGTCTTCAGGGAAGTATTAACAAGAATTCCTGATAGAACTAATGTGAAGAGAAAAATAAAAGATGACTCTAAGATACTTAGCTGGCAAACTGGAAGGATGGGGTTGACATCTACTGAGTTGGAGAAGGCTGTGGGAGGTGTGGATTTGGGCAGGGGAAGATCCGAAGTTCAGTTTTGGGCCTGCTGAGATAAGATATTACATATTATTGGCTACTTATTACATATTAGATTTATTGGTTATTCAGAGAGAAGTGTCGAGCACTTAGTTAGATGTATGAATCTAGAGTTTGGGAGAGACAGAGGTGTGGGCAGGAGAGGGATTTGAGAGGAGTCACGTGATGAAGCCATGGCACTGACCGATATCACCAAGGAAGTCAGTGTGTAGAAGAGGAGAGGTCCAAGGACCGAACTCTGCAGCATGCCGATGTAAACAGACTGGGGGAAAGAGGAGGAGCTTGCCTAGGGGACTGAGAGGGAATGTGGCCTTTGCAGAAAAATCAGGAGTGTGGAGTTCTGGGAGCCAGGCGCAGGTCGTCCATTGAAGTTTCTTCCATACCTCATTACCGCATTAGTCTTTAGCACTTCTTTCTCGTTTTAACCTCATCCTGTCTAAAATCCATGCTGCACATCACTACTAGTCACCTATCTTTGAACACATAGCCTGGCACTCCTCTGTTAACCCACAAAAAGTCATGATCTTATAAAGCATAGTTTTATCAAGGTGTCGTTTCTTATTTCACAGTGTTCATTCATTGGATAAATAATGTTATTTTTCTGTTATTTTACAAAGGCAAAAGAATATAGATTGCCTTTAAAAGGAAAGAACATTTGATTACAATTTCACCAACCCTGTTATATATCGTCTGTTATTTTTTCCCATGGAAATCTTAGAATTAGACAGTGTTTTAGGTACCACTTAGTCCACTCCTTTATTTCATAAATGCAGCCCAGAAAAGTGACCCAGTTTCCACTCCAAGTCTTTGCTCCACTCTTCTTACTGAGTGTCAGGCTCTGTTCGAATTATTTAACTTCTCAATGCCCTGAAAAGCAAGGGTGGTAAAAGAACTTACTTAAAAAGAACTTGTAACGAGGGGTCAGTACAAGACTGCACAGAAAGTGCTTACTTTTGTACCGGACATCTTTTAATATGTCTGCCCGACTTTCAGGGCCTTCTGAAGCCATGTCCCACTCTACCTGTCCAATCATATTGCCTGCTTCTCTCCAAACACTGACCTGCCTTTCCGGTGTCTCCTAACTGCACTGGGGGGATGTTTACTACTGGGCCTTGTTCAGATTCTGTCTGAACTATGGGCCCCTGAATCTTATCTCTTCCTAAGGTTGAACTGGAGCCCTGCCTTCTCCTCGAAGTCTTCATTTCTTCGTTTGTAAGCCTCCACAATGATTACTTTATTCTTTGTAGTTTTTCTGTGATTTCATGTGTTTTATATCTGTTACTTGATTACAGTTTCATGGAATATGAGATCCTTGTAAGCTTTAAGAATCTATTTTTACTGTGCTTAGCACACAGTAGAAACTTCATAAAAGCTTATCGGCTGGTCAGTTTTGAGTGCTGACCTGGCAGATTTAAAAGTTCTGGCTCTGTAAATTATTCCCTTGAGTAGAATGTAATCTAGCAACATGTCAGCTACATACTTAATTCAATGAATTTATTTATTCTTTATGTTTTACGTGCTGCCATCAAGGATTTGAAGCAGCATATAACTTGTACCCATATAAAAATAGAGTAATTTTTAGGAATATCTTTAAAGCAATGTATTCTACCAAGAGAAATAGATATGCTGATTCTTTTTCTGTAGAGCTTTTAGGTTTTACAAGTAAAATCAGTTATTCTGCCTAATGTTGAATGTGTTGAAAGTAAAATATATCACAGCTTCTTGGAGGCATATCTGCTTTGTTCTTTGCCCTTTTCAGCTGTGAGCCCTTTGTTGCACAAAAGCCCCGGAAGTGCCAGTCAGGACCAGAAGAGAATGAAGTAGATTTCATAGTTTGGGTTTGGGAAATCTGATTGTTTCTCTTGGAACAGATTGTTCATTATAACTGTGTCTATAATAAATGGAGTGCACTGCCGAGATAGATGAAAATGAAATTAATTTGGCTCAGATGTGATCTTTGTTTTGCTTATGAGAATTTGAAACATCCTTACAGAGTTTCAAATTTCCATGCAATTTAGAAATAAAAGAGATTTCAAAATGTGTCTGTCTCCCTCGCCAGTGGCTGTCATTGCCTTCCTGTGGCACTGCGGAACAGAGCAGCAAATGCGAATAACTATGTGGAATTAGCGTGCGGTAGGACCTTCTCAGAATTCTCATTTAAAAGGGGCATTTCACAAATAAAAATACTGCATAAGGTTATGTGCTTTCTGTTGTAGGCTGCCTATCAGATTGGGGACTATGAGCTGGCTAAGAAAGTTTTCTCACCGGTCTGGGATTATTTCGTTGCTTCTCCACCTCACAACGAACAATCTGTTATTTGTTTGAGCAATATAATGACTATTACACAGAGAAGGTAATTAGAAATATTCACTTAAAATATTAATTTCCTTTTTGAAATTAGGTGTTCGGAGTGAAACCTAGAGTTAATTTATTTTCAATTTCATGTTAAGATAGTCCATATAAAACTGTTTTCAATCAGTTTTTAATAAGCATGAACATTTCAGGGTCTTGAGCCTTTGTTAGAAACTTTTTTACTAGAATCAGGAAAAAAAAACCCACTGCAGGCATGTGGATGCATTCTGACTATAAGTTAATGAAAGCTATAAAAAAATACCAAACACTAGCCAAAGCAATGTCAGTTATACTATAAAACACAAATATTATTGGGAATGTTTGTAACAGAGAAGGTCAGGTTCAGGTGAAGGTTAGGGTCTGATGGAGGGTAGACTATCAGGGTAAACAGGCTTTCCTTGCTTTGAGGAAGCTTCGAGGCTTAGACTGTCAGCAACTTCAAACAGGCCAGTAGAAGCTGTATATAAAACCACAGCCTATCCTTTGCCTTACTGCCAATTTTTTCCCTCGAAAAGAACAAAGTTTAGGAGCAGCTTAAGAAATGAGCATTGGTGTGATTTCTGGCTGTCTTCAAGTTCAGAAACAACAATAGTCTCCTTCACCTACTTATTAATGTCTGAAATTTCTTTGATAAGAAGATGAAACCCGTCACTCCTCAAAGACAGTGAGCTGAAAGTACAAATTCTGGTTGAGTAAAGGCATTGACAATGCTCATTCACATTCAGGTATAATTACACCTAAGTTAAAAGCTATAGGCTTAGCATCTGCCATGTACAAGGATGTTAGATGCTATGGGAGGTAGAGCTGAGAGGCATTTTGGAGGAGGAGCCAGGACTTGGAATATCTGATGAAACTCAGGAGGATAAGAGAGAGGGAGGAGTGCACAGTGACTGGGATTTCCAGGGTCACCTGACCCGGAAGCCTATTACATTTCCTAAAGGAACGTGACAGGTGGGGCATGTTTTTGTAGGAAGATAATGACTTGGATTGAGCATAGTTTGAGTTTAGTTTTCATGCAGGACGCTTTTGGAGATAGGAGATATCCAGTAGGTAGTTGGATGTTTAGTGCTGCATCTTAGGAGTGAGGTCAAGGCAACAGATACAGATTAGAACTTGTCCATTGAGGTCATCATGGAAATTTTGACAATGAATGATGTCCCCCAGGGAATGACTTACATAGGAGAACAGATAGAAGGCTGGAGTTTGAACCCTGGGTATCTTTACACTTAAGAGACAGAAACAGAGATGGAACTAAGGAAGGCTGTTGAAAATGAGCAGTCCAGAAAGTGAAAGTATGGGAAAGTGTACTGCCGAGGGCAGCAAGAGCACCACCTCAGAGGGACTGGCCAGCAGGATTGAATGCTAGCGCAAGGTCAGGTAGAGCAGCTGTTTAATAGAATGCTACAGAGAGGTCGGGCAGGATGTAAACTAAGAAGGGGCTTTTAGAGTTGGTAATGTAGGAGGCCATTGGTTAGTTCAAGAGAGTCATTTTTGTGCTATGATGGGGCAGAAACCTTTTGCAATTGGCGAAGGAATGATTGAAAATGGGGAATTGTTATAGGCAGACTATGGATGTGAGGTTTGGCAGTAAAGAGAAGAGGAAAGTGGGAAGAAGCTCGAGGGGGAAGGCACGCTTAAGGAAAGACTTTTGGAGGGAGAAGGGAAGGGAGCCAGGGGAGAGGAAGAGGTTGAGGGTAGAAGAAGTTGCAGTGATGGTGGCACCGTGCCAGAGCCAGGATGACAGCAAAGCACATGGGGTGGAGAAGAAGGGGTTCAGAACATTTGTTGTGGAGAATGTGAGCGAGGTGACCGACCTCATGGGGAAATGGAAGTGTTGCTGAGAAGCACTAGCGACTCAGTTGCTGTCACATAACGTGAATTGTAGTGGAGCTCAGATCCTGTTTCTGAGGGCTACCGTTGATTCGTCCTGGTATCCCAAGTCCTAGAATAGTGTCTTGTACACAGTAGGTATCTAGAAAATGATAGTGTGAGTGAAAAAAAGAATGAATGAGAATACATTAGGAAATAGCTGATTGAGCATTGTGGCAAGGACAGAAAAAACGGCGAGGTCAGGCAAATCGATTGTCGCATAAAATAAGGGGTGCAGAATCTGAAGTGCTAGAGAGACCTCGATCGAAAGGACTACAAGATTCTGAGCTGGGTGGGAAGGACATGGAGCCGGGAGGAGGTGATGGCATGGAGGTACTGCACATGTCCGAGTTCTGATGGCCAGCACAGGCACAAGGAGAGTGGGAGAGCCAAAATCCTCCCCACAAAGGTAATTTTAGAGTTTAACATGGTGGTACAGCAGATGATCTTCAGGTGTGAAGTACTGCTGTTAGACTCTTGTTTTATAGGAATGGGGTGTATGGAGAGTAGGTAAACCTGAAGCCGAGAAGGGAGGGTTTACCACCAGATAAGGCTAAGGGTAAAGAAGGGAATAGTGGGAACAAAGAAGGAAGACTGTATAGCTTCCTGTTTTGCCATTGGTTGGCACCGTTAATGGCAGCTTAGAAAAGATAATTAGACATGACCTAAAAGTTTCTCCCTTCCCCGCCTCTCCATGGCTGATTCTGCTATAAATACCCTCATTTTTGAAAAGTTCATTAATTACTGGGCCTGTTTTCCTAACGTCTGAATATCTATAGTGGTTTCATTATATTGATAAAAAAGAACCTTATATATTAAAGCCAGAAAGCTTTGACAATAGTTATTTTTAGGAATCTATGACAGAATATGTCAGCAGCTTAGTTTTCTTCATTGTGCACTTGTTGTTAAGGGCAGTGTTTGTTTTTAACTCCAATACTGTGTGAGAATAGCTGCTCCACAATTTTCTGCTGCTATCTTGGGACCATTGTGTAGATGCTAAGAACAAATCAATCCCAAAAGGCAAGTTCGCATGCTAAATCATTTTATTTTTAGACCTGTAACGTGCTTTACTTCCTTTTGCAGGTTACATTCTGATATTTTGGCAGAGACTTCTTCAATCCTCTTGTACCTTTTTCTTAGAAATATTTTTGTAACGAGTGACATTAAAATCAAAGAAGAAAATCTTTTCTGTGATAATATCAAAGGCAATGAGATTTTTCCTTCTCAACAAGTAAGTGAATGAAAATGACTAAAAATGTGCCAATTTTCCTTTATTTGTTTCTCAATGTTTGAAATTACTTTTCTTGGGGGGAATGCAAATCCTGGTTGTGAATGGACTGAGGGCCATTGCACGTTTGTGCTGGCTTCTCTGAAATTCCGTGTGGGAGTCACTGACCTACGGGTTGTTTGGTTTGTTTTCTGTTTTTCAACTTATTCTTCTCCTATATACAAGCAGTATACACTTTGAATATTTAAAAATGTATAATATATAAAGTGAAACCATTATAATCTGGTTGCCCTGAGGAATAGTACATTTTTGTTTCATGTTATTTCTCTAATTTAAAAATATGCATAGCTAAATTTGTTAGCTATTTTTATTATCTTTACAAAAATGGCATCATGATATATTTGCTGTTCTGCATCTTGACTTGGGAACATTTTTTTGTAATATATCTTGGACATATTTTCATGGTGGTACATGTCAATGACCAAATTCTTTTTAATTGTAATATTGTGTTCCTATACAAGGGCAGGGATCTAACCTGTCTTCTATTGATAGCTTCTCAGGATTCTTACAGACATTGTTCTATGCTCATCTACAACCTTATAATGCTCTTCTTTTAATAACGGTCCTATATTTTTTTCATTTCAGATTGAGGTTACTCTTCTATCTCTTTCCTTCTTTACTCACTTTAGATATATGAGGACGGTTTTTGCCATTTTTTGGTTAGTTTCTTCACAGTTCCTTTTCCCTCCCCATCCATTTATTCATTAGTTAACCAATAAATTGTTAAATGAGCTTGTGCTAGTTTCTGTGAAGATGAAAGTGAAAAAAACATGACTGTCTGCCCCAGACAAGTCCACAGTCGTGTAGAGCCAAAGCATTCACAACCATCACCCTGCTTCTGTTGCACTGGATTCAGAGTGTCCTTTCAGCACTCAGTCTGAAGGTCAAGGTGCTCCTTAAGCAGATCAGTCACTCCTAGAATGCTAGGCTACCATTCAAGCAATAATTTGCTGTATGGAAATTTCTGGTTGCCACTCATACAGTTTTCTTTGTACATAATCTTGTATGTATATGCACTGAAATATAATGAAATCTTCCTCAGAAAAGGTGAAGGAGGAATAAAATAAGATTCTTATTCTTTTTGAGTATCTATGTTTACATATTACCATCATTTTTATTTAAGTAGGAAAATTCTAACAGAAGATTAGTTTGCTTTACTGAAAATTTACTATTTTCTCACGAATCCAAAAGGGAAATGGGACTCTGATAATCAAGTGGGGGCAATATTTTAGTGATTATTTCTTATAATCTATGTTTTTATAACAATTCTGTTTTTTCTAACATTAACATATAGCCAAGATTTTATCTTACCAGTTTCTGTTACTAGTGGTATATGTATTATTTTACACAAAATTCTGAAATTTAAGTCTAAGATTGTGTTATTTTTGTGTAGCTTTATTTGGGAGTTAGCGTTGTTCCTGAATTTAGATTTTTCCTTAAACCAACATTAATATTGTTGCCAAGCCACAGGGATCACATTTTCTACCTTCGTTTTCCTTAGAGACACATTAGTTAAGCACCTGACATTCAACTGTGTAACAATACCTGCTTCTTTACAGATTGCCAGACTAATTGAGTGTGAGAGAGTATTAGTGGCATTGGAGCTTAGCAACTACCTGAATGATTCCAGTTATGCCCTTCAAGCTGTGACTCAGTGTTATGGCCTCCTTGCTCCTATGATCTATCACAATATTGTCCTGGTACCTGTTGTACAGGTGAGAGTATTCCTTCCCCTTTCCCCATAGATAAGGGTATCTTTACAAAGGCAACTCAATAGTGCATTTTGGAAAAGGAAAAAACAATGTGTCTCCTATAGAGTATAAATAATACTATTACAACATTTTATGAGTTAACTGAAAAACATTTTAATAATTTAATTGATATGTCTGGGCAGACATATAAGTAGGGACTTGAGACTTGTTTCTCTGAAAATATTCAGCCTCATTGCTGTCCATATTTAAATATTGGCATCTGCTTTTCTAGGTTTTTAAATTTCATTTTGATATTTATGTTCTTATAGTATTAGAAGCAGCAATATGTATTCAAAGCATATTGCGAAAGTTATCCTCTGAGGAGGAGGATTGCTGGATGACCCAAGAAAACATGCTTGATCTCAGTGATGGATAAGTTGAGGATACTTTGGCTGACGGGGTTGTATTCATTGTCCGTGCTCCCAAACAAGTCACTGTACACTTAGTGACTTAAAACGGCGTCCATTTGCTTTGTCACAGTGTCTGTGGACCAGGAAGCTGGACCCACTCTGGGGCTCATCAGTCTGAAATCGGGGCTGCGATCTCATCTGAGGCTCAGGGTTCTTCTAAGCTCACTGGTTGTTGAGAAAATTGATGTTCTTGTGATTGTGGAAAAGGAGGTTTGACCCCTAAAGGCTGACGACAATTCCCTGCTCCAATATGGCAGTTTGCTTCTTCAAGGCAGACAGGAGAGCCCCCTCTAATTGGCCCGAGGAGTCTTATGTAGTGTAATTAGTCAGGGGGGAGGCCTCGCCATCACATTCACAGGGCTTACCTACACTCGAAGGGAGGGGTTATTCGGGGCTTACCTGTCAGGGGCAGGGGCCTTGAAGGTGATCTCAGAGTCCTGCCTCCCACAGGGATGCAGTGAGAGGAGGGTTTTACTGCTGATGGTGCAGACTGTTACCATCATCACCATCATTTCTGTCATCCTCACTGACTCAGATTTTGAAAGCCAAGATAATGGGAGTGAATGAGTGTAAAATAATAAACATGTAAAATTCACAATTGAGGAAACTCACAGACAGCTTAAGTAACTTGACAAGTGCTCACCTTGGAGTGGCTCTGCGGGAGTCCAGACACGTCTTCCTCTCCCAAGTTCCCGGCATCCTGCAGTTTGGCTGCTGAAGAGACAGCCCTCCAGCATCCGAAATCTAGACTAACAGTTGGCAGCCCCCATGTCACTTGTCAATGGATTACAGCAGTATCTTCAAATGTAAAATATTCTCCCTCCTGAATCCGAAGGTATATACCTGGCATTGTCCTTTCTGTTTGAGAGATGAGAGATGCCAGACCAACTTTGGAGGGGGGGTCTTGGCATGTTCCAGATATGTATTTTATTAATGTGTTAGGCCCCTGAATCTCCAAAGGGTTTTTTCTACTGTCTGGAGGGCATGCATTGTACCAAAGGTCTTTAGGGTACTTGCCATTTCTTTCTCATTAGGTCTGACTAACATAATGGTGTTGATACAGTGGTCTAATGTTTTGTTTTGAGAAATGTCCAGAAAGCTCAGATCCTTCTTTAAACTATTATGTCAGAGGGTGGGAGAGTTATCACTGCCCTGGGGCAGGACTCCGAGTGTTTGCCTTTACCTGCTCAGTGTGAGTGGGAGCTTCTGGTTCTTCTTTCCCAGGGGTTAGAAAAGGAAACATGAACCATATTGGTGCACGCCTTGTAAGGTGCTCCAGCAAAGCTACCACATTAGGCACAACACTGTGATTGGTGCTCAGCCGGGCGAGTCGGGATAGTCTCCTGTCACCGTTCAGGACCCCACCCATTCAGGATGCCTTTAGCTGCAGCTCAGAATGGGTTATAGGTGTGAGGGAAAGCCTTAGGAGGGCAATTTCTAATTAAATTATATTGTTTAGAATAGGAAAAGATGAGTGGAACAGAGTAGAGAGTCCAGAGATAGGCCTCAATATATATGAGAATGAAATGTATGGCAGAAATTGGCATTTTAATTTAGTGGAAAGAAAATGGATATTTTTAGTAAGCTGTAGTGAATCACCTAGATATTCATTGAAAGAAAGTAGAGTTTGAACTTATTTATGCCATTTACAAAAAGTTGAGATCTTAAATATAAAACAAAGCAAAAAATTTGACAAAAATATCTCAGGAGATTAGGTACCTGTGCAATCCAGGGCTGGGGGAACCGCTTCTAACCAAGACAGAACTCTTAGAAAAAACAAGGAGAAAAAACATATTTGACTGTGTGTACAGCAATCTATGTGTGAAAAAGGGGACCATAATAAAGATAGTAGAAAATTTATGGATTTGGAAAAATATACCTAACATTGATGAAGGATAAATATATATAACAAAAAGTCTTACTATTGGACAATAATGTGATAGGAAAATGGGCACAGGATATGTAATAGGTAGTTTATAGGGAAAACAGATCCAAGTGGCTGAGAGGCACATGAAAAGATGCTCAAACTCTGAATGCTCGTTCACACATGTGCACAGTAAATGAACAAAGTAACGACACAGGCAGAATTGAAAAGATCTGTGACACCTATTGCTGGTGCGGATGTTTGGGGCAAAGGCATTCTTGTTCGCTAATGGAGGAAATGTGAATTGTTATAGGCATTGGATTTTGGTAAAGCAATCTCAATTTTAGTTAAACTAAATCTAACTTTAATTAAAATAAAAAACAAGTATACCTGACAGCAATCCCTCTACTAGTAATCTATCTCATAGAATAAAATTTTAGCAAAATTAACAGTGCCTTCACCTGACACAGCAATCCTCTATTAGTAATGTATCTCATAGAATATAGTTACCAGTTGGTAGGATGCTACTCCAGGCTTCACCCTTTGGTTCCCAGATCCATGTGTTCTACCAGCTGGGGACACAGTACCACATACTGGGCCCCGACTTAGAATGTACACAGTGCCCTGGAGGGTGGTGCCTCGTGCTCACTGGGCAGCATCTTGGAGCTGGCACCTCTGGTGCCTCTCCTGTTGAAAACTGTGTGTGTGGGTGTGTACTCTGGCATTCTTGGTGGTGGCCATAAAACTGGAGATGAAGAGAAGTGCGGTAACAGGAGGATGGCCAGACCGTAAAACCTCAACCCTAACACTGTACACCATGGAGATTCTGGAAGTGGCTAATCAACTGTGGTTGATCGACATTAAATAATTGTATGTAGCCATTAGAAGTAATGAATTGGAGCTAAACCTATAGACTTGGAGGAATTTTTCATTAGACATGATTGGAGGGGAAATGCACAGTTCAGGTAAGTGCATTTAAATCCCATTTGCAGCCTAGCATTAACCCTCCTATGTACATTTTTAAAAAAGATTTTATTTGTTTACTTTTGGAGAGGGGAAAGGTAGGGGAAAGAGAGGGAAAGAAACATGATGTGTGAGACAGACAGTGATTGGTGCCTCTCTCATGCCCCTAACTCACAGGCCCTGGCTGGCAACCCAGGCATGGGCCCTGACTGGGAATTGAACCAGCGATGTTTTGGTCCACAGGCTGGTGCTCAGTCCACTGAGCTACACCAGCCAGAGCCCTGTGTACATTTGAGTATTTGCACATACACATAAAATTACTTGAGCCAGAGGAAAACTTCAAAATTTAATGTTGTTACATGATTTGGGGATATGGCGTGGTAGTGGGGAGAGGGTGATAGTGGAGGGGGGAATTTAAGAAGCATTAAAAAAACTTACAAGTTTTTTAATGGTAGCTTGAAGCAATTAATGTGCCCTCAGGGCACCAGCATCCATATTTTAATTTGTCCTTTGGAATAATCTGAATGAAGGTAGATCGATCAATCTCAACTCTACTTTTCTGATGGTAATATTACTTAGAATTATGCAACAGAATAGAAAGCCAAACTTAATTGTCTAGCTCTTGATCCCATTCAGGGTCATATGGTATGAAGAGAGGAGAATAGAAGTAAACACCAAGATTAATTAATTTCCTGTGGTGTGAATGTTTGGTTTTAATCTGGAAGGAAATTGTTATTTCAAGTACCTGGCATCGGTTTGTATTTAGTATGGTACAGCCTTCTCCATGTGGCTTTCCAGGGTCCACCAAGCCTGGATGTGATTGATCTCGGTGTTTCTTGTATACATATAACATTCTTTGTATATCTTTTATGGCACTTGACAAAATATGCTTTGTTTTATAGTTATTCACATACTAATTTATTCTCTGCACAGGTTCTCAAGTTATTTAGAAGAGAGACTCATTTGAAAATTGAGCATGTCAGTTTTATTTTAGAGTATACTCTACCTGATAAGCAACTTATCAATAGTTATTAACAATAATAATAAAATTTGATGGCTTCAAACTTGCACGATTTTAATGGAACAGTTTATAGTGTGTAAGGGTGATAATTTTCAATAAAACCATTATCTTTCCATTTTTTAGATCTTGATAAAGTGTATAGTGGTTTTGCAAGGACTGCCAAACAGCATCCACTCAAAGAAACATGCTGCAAATTTTGAAGGCGTACAGCACATGATAGCTTGTTGTATCTTCTATATAACAAAGGTATTTATCATGTTCTTAGTCTTGTGTCATAAAATTTAGGAGCGGTAATGACTTAGGAAGTCAAGCTACTTTTATAGAAATTACTTTAAGAAATAGCACTCAGAAAGCATTTGAGATCAAAAGTAGCCGGAGCAGGTCAGCTGTAAAGGATGGTGGGCGTATTGTGAGGAAGCGGGGTTGCAGGGATGGAAAGATGAGTTTTTATGGGACCTCATTCATTTTGAAAATCAGAAAGAACCAAGAGACCAGAGGCAGAGAGGTAGGCTTGTCTATCCTCATCATTTGGCTCAAAGATCAGGCATTTCTTCAAAGGTTTGGTTGACTGAACCCAGGGAATCTCCTCAATGAAGGGCCAGATCTGCCTGCCTCTTTTATGTGGCCCTCACAGGCCCTTTCTCATTTGGTCAGGGATCTGGAAGAACACTGTATAGGGGGCTGATTTGATCCATCACTTTGTTTGGGGTTAAAGTTTGCTTCTATAGAGGTCTGGCAACAGAGAGGCCTCTAACCTCTACCTTAGCAAAGAGGTCATGATTTGCTGGCTGCTATGGTTTGACCTCAAGAGCAGAAGATCATATTCCTTCCATCACTCACTGAGTTACCACTGTTGGAGAGCCCTTTATGACTTGGTCTGTGTAGAGGCTGAGGGAACATAAGCCATTAGCAGGAAGAGAAGAACAATGGCTCACTATAGGGGACTCAGAATCCCAAGGCTCAAGAACAAACCAGACACTAAAATAATGTGTATTTACTTTTACTGTTTTGGAAAAGACCAGAGATTACTTGAAACAAAAGAGAGAGAGAGAGAGAGAGAGAGAGAGAGAGAGAGAGAGAGAGAGAGAGAGCGCACCCTGGCTGGTGTAGCTCAGTGGATTGAGCGCGGGTCTGCGAACCAGACAATCACGGTTCGATTCTTAGTCGGGGCACATGCCTGGGTTGCAAGACAGTTCCCTGCAGGCCAGTTCCCAGCAGGGGATGCACGAAGGCAACCATACATTGATATTTCTCTCCCTCTCTCCTTCCCTTCCCCTCTAAAGATAAACAAATAAAATCTTAAAAAAAAAAGAGAGAGAGAGAAAACTTTCAAGGTGATGCCATTCATTAGATGATCAAAACAAAACAAAACAAAAAATCTGTACCTGAACAAACTAATTTAATTTTTGATTAAAAACTTGAATAGATGAACATTATGGTTATTGTATTTCTTGAGTCAAATCTGGAAGTTCAAGAAGTACCAGCCATTGTAGAACAGAATTGTCTAGAGAGAAATTCAGAAGGCAGATCCAGAAGTCATAACATGAAATGAAAGGAGTTTTGCAGGTAGAAAAGAAACAGATGGAGAATATTGGCTCTCGGCATCCCAGGTAGGATAAATGTAAGAATGTGTGTCTAGACAGACATGTGTTGGTGAAATGGCTGAAGTCCAAGGGTAAGGGCAAGTCTTAAAGTTTCGAGACCAAAAGAATAGGTTATTTGCAATGGAAAAAGAATTAATTAGCTTTAGACTCATTTTTATCAGCAACACTAGAAGTTGAAATATTGGAATAACAATTGTAGAATCCTGAGGGTCCAAGAATTAATAACCAGTAAAGATGTCATTCATTTGTCAGGGCAAAGTAAACATTTTCAGAAGTGCGTGCATTTAAAAAATATTCTGCCTGTGTACTTATCTGAGGAAAACACTTGAGGAAATACTCTATCAAATGACAAGTGGTTCAGAACAGAAATCCCAAGATAGGGAAAGACAAAAAGGAGAGGAATAATGGGAGCAATGAATCTTGCAATATATGTATTATTAAAACTAAATAGATAATAATTATGTGACTAGGACTCTGTAATATAAATGCTAAGTAGGGATTCTTAAAATAGAAGTATCATCCTTGAAAGGAAAATGTATTGGTAACCTAGAACTAAAACTTCCACCCTGTTTGGGGCTGAGGGAGAGGTGAGCAGTTAGAGAATCTTGGTGCATGGTTGTATGTTTAAAAAAAATATATATATATATATAGTATAAAATATAAATAGTATAAAATTATTTTATTTTGATAGAGTAAATATATTTAAAGATAACTCAGAGCCATAAACAGAACTTTAAAACTCGGTAGGACTTATAAATTAATAGGAAAGAAAAATGAACAGAGGAATGACAGGGAAGAAAAATGCTTAATTCAGCAAAAGTAAGAAGGAGGAAAAAGATATAGTGTATAAGACGGAAGCCATAAAATCAAATATATTAACTACTTCACTAAGTGTGAATGAACTTGGAAGACAGAGGTTGGCAGATGGGCTAAAAACTCAGATTTAAATGTGCACTATTTTAAGAAACACTCATAAAACAGAGTGACAAACACTGGCTGAAAAAGAAATGATTAGACAAAAGTACTGGAAATATGCAAACAAAAATAAAGGAGCAGTGGCGATTTTCACATCTGAAAAAGCAGAATTCAGGGTCCAAAACATTCATCACAACAAAGAGAGGCATTACTGTTAAGTGTTCTTCAGATCTTTCAGTCTGAGCATCTTCTCTGCTCCTGGCTGGCAGCTGGTTATTTTCTGGTATTAGGACAGACTTATTTTCAAGTACTGAAGATCAATTGCACATTAAAACAAAACTTGACTTTTTTTTTAAATCAAAGGGTAAAAAGGTAAGGTTATGTGAAAAAGCTACAGTGGCATTTGATAACCCCAGGCAACTTTTCCTAACACAATTTCTAAATGAGTTAGGAGTAGAAGGAAGCTGTTGCACACGGTAGTCACTCCTTATTTGTGGGGGACACATTTCAAGATCCCTAGTGGATGCCTGAAACCAGGGATAATACTGAACCCTATATATACTGTGTTTTTTATACATATACACATGATAAAGTTTAATTTATAAATTAGTCACACTAAGAAAATAACATTTAATTAAAATGGAACAATTATAACAATGTAATGTAATAAAAATTATGTAAATGTGGTCTCTATCTTTCTCAAAATATCTGATGGTAGTATAGTCATGCTTCTGGTGGTGGTGTGAGATGATGCAATGCCTACATGATGAGGTGGAGGGAGGGGACGCCACACAGGCACTGTGATGTAGCCTCATGTTACTACTGGCGTTCTGATGGTGTCAGAAAGAAGATCATCTGCTTGGGGTGATCCTGGGTCATTGAGCCATGATGATGTCACTGGTCCGATGGCAGGAGCAGATGATGTCTATGGCTGGGAAAATTTTATATTTGCAGACTGAGGTTGACCATAGTAACTGAAACAGTGGAAAGCAAAACCACAGATAAAGGGGATTAATATAATGATAAAGGCGCTTACCAAAGTTTTACAACAGATATCATACTACATGGAAGATTTTTGAAGCCATTTCTTTAAAAATGAAGCATAGAAGATGCTGTCTCTTAATAGTGTGATTCACTATTTGTAAAGATTCTGTCTCATGCAATAGATAAGAATATGAAATTACTTTTATAATATTTTTCTAATATAATTTATCTGTAATGATAGAGGCCAAAAAGCAATGAGAATCTAGTAAAAAATACTACAATTACAAAGATAATTTATAAAGTGATTATATGAAAAGATTTATGGAATGGTAGGTTTTAAAAAAATACTAGCAGTAGCAAGTTAGAAATGGAGAAAAATATACCATTTATAATACATAATATTGTAAATTTAACAACATGTTAAAATTCCTAGATGAAAGAATTGTGAGATCTTACTGAAGGACACAAAATAAGATCTGAATACATGGTAGGCCACATACCAAGTTCCTGAATAGGAAGACTTACTGGCATAGAAATATAAATCTTTTCTAAAATAATATTTAAATGTAATGCAGTCTGAATAAGAACTCCAGGTGGGTTTCTCAGAAACCAATTTAAATAATATAAAAGTTGTCCATAGATACTAAAATTTACCGTAAGGCTACTTCAATAAAAATGGTATTAACAGGGTACTGGGCAGGTAGTTCAGTGGAAGAGGATAGAGAATCTAGCAATACCCAGACCTAGGTTACGTCAGAACTTCATGTATGACCTCAATGAACAGGTATTTGGGTTCATTGAGAAAATAATATTGTATAATAGTAGTTTATTTATTAAAAGGTATTGGTACAACTGATAATTCATGTGAAAATAGACAAGGCCAGAGTCCCACCTCATATCATAAACAAAATAGAATCCCAATGATTTCGAGGTTGTATGGCCTTGAAGTCAGGAGAGACCTTTCTCAATCAGGCACAAAATTCAAAAGATACACAGTAACAAAAAAAAAAGGAGATAAATAGATTAAACAGGAAATGTTGAAGGGTTTCAAACCCCAAAATGATATAATGAGATTTGCATTTTAGAAAAATTATTCTGGCTGTGTAACACCTAATAATTGCAGAGGGATAAGAGTGAGGCAGGGAAGGAGTTACAAGGTAAAAGGTGGTAAAAATCACACAGTCCTTGTGTGATTTTTCTCCTGTAGCACAGGGCACCTTGGGGCTGGCTCTGCATTTCCAGATTTTTCCGTCCATGACGCCTCTTCCTTTCCACCCACCTGAGGAATGATATTAAGATTCAGGTGATGTTATTATACAAATGACCTTGAATGTCCTGGACATTTAAAAAATTATTGATTTGAGAGAGAGTAAGAGAGACATCAGTTTGTTGTTCCACTTACTTCTGCATTCCTCGGTTGATTCTTGTATGTGTTCTGACTAGAGATTGAACCCAGCACCTTGGCATATCAGGATGGCGCTCTAACCAACTGAGGTACCCACCAAGGGCTGGACATTTTTTTAAAAAGTAAAGTATATGTTAGTTTAGGATTAACATATATTAATAGCAGGACTTTGCTCTTAGAAGTGGTCTGTCCCAAATTGATATGCTGAGAATTGTCATTCCAGAGGCTTCCTCCAGTATGACCAGCCGTCCCAGAACCTTGGAATAGTCCGAATCCCACACTTCAAGTGTTCATTTCATATAACACATTTTTATATGGATTTTCACTTATGAAGCCCAATTAGTCAAATGGCTGTTTCTTTTCTCTGTTATGTTTAAAAAAATGGTAATCTTTTCAGAGGGCTCAACCTTTCTTCTGTAAGCAGCAATAGTTTTTGTACAAGTTGGCGGAGTTCTAAATGAAGTGCCACTTCTGAGACACAGCGTCTCCAGTGTTTCCTTATTTTCACATGGATAAATTATTATGCTAAACATCTGGTGTGGTCTTCCTATTTCTGTTCATTTGGTATGTTAAGTAGAAGTGGTTTTACTTTTCTTTTGATTCGAAACCTTCTTTATCACTTGGTGTTTTCTACTGGCCTATTCTAACAAGGGGGAGAGTTGACCTAGTGCTCCAAGAGCCTAGGGCCTCAATACGTCGGAAAGTCAAGTTGTGTGGAGAACACACATTACCTCATTCCCGTTTTTTGATAACAAAACTGTCTCTCTTGTGTCAATTTTATAATGAGGTTGGATTCTTTACCTGGCATTCAAGGCCCTGAATGACTGACCCCATCTACCTTTCCAGACTTCATCTCACCATTTTCCTCCCCGCTCTTCATTCCACAGTCAGCATTAGTTCACTGATATTGCACTGGTCCCACAGAAGTATTTTCAGTTTTTAGCACCTTGCACTAACTTGGTTTCAACAGGTTTAAGCCATTATTCACTTTTCCCCAGCCACTTATTATATCCTTTCCCTGCATGGCAAGTACCAGTGGCTAGTTATCATAAATACTGACTTATTTAACTTGACAGAATGCATCCATATATAACAAGTCCACACAAGCTTACTTATGCCCATAGAAGATTGTTTTATGGGGTTCACAATGAATGTGTTCCCTTCACATGACCTTTCCCTACAGCAGACTCTATGCAAATCAGAGTACAGACCAGAGAAGCTTCCTTGGAGTTGGCACTTGAGCTCAGGTTTCAGTGACCGGGTTACGTTAATAACCTTACATTATGATAATAAAGTGGGGAAGCTGTTCTGGGAAGTGGCTCAGCTGTAGACAAGCATAAGTGCTGAAACCATGGTGAGTGTCAGAAATTATACCTGGCTCCATATTTTGTGAACTTAAAGTGCAGGGAAGTGGGTGGTGAAAGATGGTGCTAGAGAGGTGGGAAAGGGCCGGGCTAGAGGAGGCCGAAGCATAACAGTTAGTAGTAACGGGGTGGGGGGGGGGCTCAGGAGAGGGGGCCCCACCCCTTCTGATCACCAGTGTCTGCTTCTCCTGGGCTTCATGGAGAATCTGTCAAAAACAGCTTAACTGTACCTCAGTCCACTGCCGGAATGCCTTGTAAATCATTTACTGGGATAAATGCCCCTCCAACACCATGAGGTCAGCGACTGTGCCATGCCACTTAGAAAGCAACTCAAGATAAGAGGTGAGGCATACGTGGCCTTTAAGAATGATTTTGAGATCTTTTTTTGCCAAGAAATAGCAAAACTCTCAGACGCACAGTTTAAAACACTGGTGATCAGGATGCTCACAGATCTGGTTGATTATAGCCACAAATTAGAGAAACATATGAAGGCGAAACTAATTGAAATGAATGGAATTGTACAGGAAACCAATAGCGATAAAAAGGAAACTGGGACTCAAATCAATGGAGTGGACCAGAAGAAAGCAAATAATGGCCAAACAGAAAAGAGTGAAGAAGCAAGAATTCAAAAAAATGAGGAGAGTCTTAGGAACCTCCAGGACATCTTTAAACACTCCAACATCCAAATTATAGGGGTACCAGAAGGGGAAAGGAACAGCCACCAGTGGAAAACTAATTTGAACAAATAATAAAGGAGAGTTTCCCCAATCTGGCAAAGGAAATAGACTTCCAGGAAATCCAGGAAGCTCAGAGAGTCCCAAAGAAGTTGGACCCAAGAAGAAACACACCAAGGCACATCATCATTACATTAGCCAAGATTAAAATGAAGGAGAGAATCCTAGAAGCAGCAAGAGATAAGGGGACAGTCACCTACAAAGGAGTTCCCATCAGACTGTCAGCTGATTTCTCAAAAGAGACCTTAGAGGCAAGAAGGGGCTGGAAAGAGGTATTCCAAGTCATGAAATCCAAAGACCTACAACCAAGATTACTCTATCCAGCAAAACTTTCATTTAGAATGGAAGGACAGATAAAGTGCTTCTCAGATAAGATCAAATTCAAGGAGTTCATCATCACCAAGCCCTTATTATATGAAATGTTAAAAGGACTTATCTAAGAAAAAGAAGTTTAAAAAACATGAACAGTGAAAGGACAGCAAACTCACAGTTATTAACAACCACATCTAAAACAAAAGCAAACTAAAAGGACAGCTAGATCAGGAGTAGAAACATAGAAATGAAGATCTCAAGGAGGGTTAGCAACAGGGAAGTGGGAGGAGGAGAAGGGGGGAGAAGGTACAGAAAATAAGTAGCATAGACAGTAGATAGAAAATAGATGGGGGGCAAGAATAGTATGGGAAATATAGAATCTAAAGAACTAGAGACACATGGTCATAAACTAAAGGGGGTAATGGTGGGGACAGGGGGTAGGATGGAGGGGAATGAAGGAGGGAACAGAACAACTGTAATGGCATAATCAATAAAAAATAAAAATAAATTTAAAAAAGAATGATTTTGTTTTAATATGAACATTTTAAGTAAAATATTTCCTGAATAGTTCACTTAATATACCAAAACATGTAGGGTTGCTTGCAGTTTTTTTAAAAAAATATTTTATTTATTTATTTTTTGAGAGAGGGGAAGGGAAGGAGAAAGAGTAGGAGAGAAATATCAATGTATGGTTGCCTCTCATGTGTCCCTCCTGGGAACTGGCCTGCAACCCAGGCATGTGCCCTGACTGGGAATCGAACTGCGATACTCTGGTTCACAGGCCCGCGCCCAATCCACTGAGCTACGCCAGCCAGGGCGGGTTGCTTGCAGTTTTAATTCTAGGGAAATATGATCTGAAGTAATTCCAGTTTCCTTAACAGAAACAGGGGAATTCTTAGACCCAAAACATTAATAGGGCTTTTGAATTTGTGAAAGATGATGTAAGGTACTTGGAAATAGACAGGGGTTTCCAACAGAGATAATTAGTAAATATCTTAACTTAGATTCTGCGTTCATGGAAGGAATATGACCTGGCAGTAATTATTATAAATTATGGGAAAAAAATGTTGGACATCACACCAGAGTGCAAATCTCCATTTGGTGCCATTGACCAAGAAGAAGCACAAGAGGAGGTAACTGCTTTTGTTTCTCGTCTCTAAGTTTCTAAGCTTTTGTTTAGTTGAGTCTTTTAGGAGGTCATGCATTGTAAGTAAACTTATTTTAAAAAATTGATTGGTATTTAATTTGTTACATTTACATAAAAGTAATGTATAGTGAAGAGCTCCTCTCCCTCCCTTTTTTGTGATAAAAAATGAAGAGGAATCCATTTTTGAAGAGAACACTGAAAAGTTCCCTATCGCCAGTACTGATGATCATCAGTTTGGGGTGGGTAGTGTGCTTCCTACATCCATTTGGGCTTTGTACTAAAAGACCTGTAAAGCCACGCCCACACTGATTTCATTATTCTGGGTGCATCATTCAGTGTAGTAGATACATGTCAGAGATTTTCGCTGTCTTCAAAGTAGATTTCCCAAACTCTCTATCACACCTAAATTGTCTTCTTGATGAGACTGCTAATGTTTGAGGTAACTTTTTAATATCTGCTTCCCAAGCGTGGGTCTTGCTAGAGCCTGTTTTATTGCCTTTCTGAAAAACTATATGAGTAAACGTTTTTGTAGATCAAATTTGAAGTGTCGCTTAGTTTATCAGATTTTATGTGCACTAGGAATAACTTGAAGCCCCTTCAGTACCTGGGGTGGGGGGTAGAGACTGTCACCCCCAAGCCTGTTTTAGTTGCAGTAACTCCATTTCTCTATTATATGTTGAGTGTCTAAGTAAGCATTTGTTGCAAAAAGCTTCAACTATTAGCACTGTTTTCCTGGATGCATTTTAAGCCATGATGCTTGTTTTGAAGGGGCTTACTTGGTCTAGAGTTTTGACTAAGCTGGAGGCAGTCTGAGGTTTTTTCCCAAGTGTTCAGTCTCAGAACCTGTCGCTAGCTTCCTTCCATCAGCCAGCCTTTAACTCAGGACACTGTCCCTGTACATCATTGTACGGCAGGACCCCACGCCTCTTTCCCTGGAGTCACTAGTCCAGCAGGAGTTGTGGTACTTCCTTCTCACTAAGCCTGTAGGGCTGAGATCATTCGAAACCCTCAAGGTTGCTATAAGCCCAAAGAGGCTTGAGTGGTTTTGTTTTTGCTTTTGCTTTTGTTTTTGCTTTGAAAACAGGAGACATGAACTGGTCAGTTCTCCATGGTGGTGGAGAGCCTGAGCACAGACCCACCAATTTTTAATCTGTTAACTATTGATCCTGTTATGTTTCAATGAAAGGCAAAGCAGCAAAGGCAATTAGCTGAGTTGTGAAGAAGCTCCTTCTGGGAAAAAGAAAGGAAAAAAGAAAAAGAAAAAGGAAAAAAAGTGATATGTTTCTGAGGGCATGCAAGGAATTTTATTTTGAGGAGTTTAAAAGACATACTCCAAACTAACTCCTTTAGGGAGCGTGTGTGTGTGTATCTGCATTGCTCATTGGGAGGGGTGGGAGTTAGTGGGAGGAAGGAAGAGAGAAGAAAAGAAATATTTTGGTCCACTTCCATAAAACATTAGGTCCTGTGCCTGGCATTTAGTGCCAACAATGTCAACAATGATTGTTATTATTAATTATTTTTCTAAATTGGATTTATTTGGGTGTCATTGATTAATAAAACCATACAGGTTTCAAGGGTACAACTGGATAACACATCATCTGCATATGGCATTGTACACTCACAACCCAAAGTCGTCTTTCCCTGCCACCATTTATGCCCCTTGCCCTGTCCCACTGCCTTCCCACCCTGCTTCCCCCCTGGCAATTCTTAATTCGTATTGTTTAGCCGTGGAGATCATAGTCTTACTTGCAAGTATGAAAACATAATTTTAAGAATGTTATTGGAAAATGACAATTGCTAAAACATATTGCACTACATCCTGAAATTTAACCAATGTTTCTAGGGTTCTTCAAAGAAGTGTCCAAAGACTAAGAAGCCACAGCAGATATTATCACCTGAAAAAATAAATGAGCAGCTGGTCTTGTTGGAGGCACACCTTCTCAAACTGACAAAGCAAAGTAGTCATTTTTTGTTTCTATCTGTGTACTTCTATTGAGCATTATATCTTTTTAAAATAAGAAAATCTTCTGTTAAAAGGATTAGGAGGATATTAGCATTTGGTAACCCCTTCAAAGTTTACAGTCTTTTATATTTGTCAATAATACTAATAATATTCTATTAATAAGGGATTGCTTACTGCTTTTTCCTGATGTGACTCATAAAGATTATGTGATTTATTTAGAATTGCATAGCTAGCTTGGATCTGAGCCTAAACCTTCTGATTCTAAAGCAGGGTATTGCAACCTTGATACTCTTGCCTGTTTGGGCCAGATAACTATTTGCATGGGGGACTGTCCTTGGCATTGTGGATGTTGAATGGCATCCCATTGACATACAGCGCACCATTTTCCCAGCTGTGACAACCAGCTGGGAAGCAAGTGTTGCCACATATGTGGGGTTGGGGAGGGAAGGTGCAAAATTGAGAATCTGTGCTCGAATGGCAAAAATGTAACTGAGAAATGAAAAGAGATAGCATGAGGGGTGTTAATGTGTGAGTGATTTGAAACACAGTTTCAGGTTACCGTGCTATGTAGTGATATGTGAAGACAGTGATTGGAATTTTGCAGTTAGTGATTTGGAAGTCTGCTTAAGAAATTGATTCAGTTTCTGAATTGATAAGTATGATCACTTTTAAAAAAGTAGGTACTTCAGATCTTTCAAACAGGAGAGTACCAAAATTTCTCGTCAGGGGAGCCTCCATTTGTGGCCCCCTTGGTCTTTGGGAATGACTGTACGTGAAGAATTCCGAGTCCCTACCTCAACTCTCTCATTATGGGTCCCAGTTTTATCGGAGAGGTTGTAGGTTCCCAACTTGGACCTCTCTCTATTCCAGCATTCTCAGTGTCTGTTACAAGCTGAATTTTGAACTCGATGCTCTATTATTTACATAATCAGTAAACATAGTTTGTAACAAAGCTGTAATTGTCTAGTCACGTATAAAAATATAATTCCTTAAAATATAAAGTATTCTAGAAATGTGAATTATTTCTTTTCATACTATCAAAAAAGAGAAAACCCCTCACATTTTACCAGTCAGCACAGTATAATGTCACTAACTAAGCAGTAGATTCAAAACAAAACAAGAATAAAAATATTAGTTTCATGTAGTGCTTCCTGTGCACCAGAAACTACTTTGTGTTTTATATATTAAAACTCATATAATCCCTATACAACCATTATATGAAGAAGGTATCATTATTATTCCCATTTTAAAGAAAAAGAAACCTAGGCACAGAGATGCTGAGTAACTTCTCAAGTTCTCATAACTAAAAAGTGTCTGGGTGAGGATCTGAACCCAGGCAGTCTGGCTCCAGGGGCTGTGCTGTTCGCTATCATGTGCTTTACTATCTTTTCATGATCGTTTTATTTATTTATAAGTATATTTTATTGATTATGCTGTTACAGTTGTCCCAATTTTTCTCCCCTTTATCCCCTCCTCCCTGCACCGCCCCCCTCATCCTTCAGTATCCCCTGCCCCTCCACAGTTCAAGTCCATGGGTCGTACATAGAAGTTCTTTGGCTTCTCCATTTCCTCTACTATTCTCAACCTCCCCCTGTTTATTTGTACCTGCCTATTCTGCTTCTTATTCCCTGTACCTTTCTCCCTTGTTCTGTTTCTCCCCCTATCCACTGATAACCCTCCATGTGATCCCTATTTCTGTGATTCTGTTCCTATTCTAGTTGTTTGCTTAGTTTCTGCTTCTGTTTTTCAGGTTCGGTTTTTGACAGTTTTGAGTTTGTTGTCATTTTGCTATTCATAGTTTTAATTATATTTTTATAAAAAATGGAGTTGAGCCCTGGCTAGTGTAGCTCAGTGGATTGAGTGTAGGCCTGTGAACCAAGGGGTCATGGTTCAATTTCTAGTCAGGGCACATGCCTGGGTTGTGAGCCAGTTCCCAGCAGGGAATGCATGAGAGGCAACCATACATTGATATTTCTTTCCATCTCTCCTTCTCTTTCCCCTCTAAAGATGAAGAAATTTTTAAAAACTTAAAAAATGGAGTTGGTATAATTGGTAGGTTTCTGAGTCTGGGGTTTACTGATCTACAATAGCTATTGAATAAGAGAGATACATGCTTTGGAAACTCTTTACCTACTTGGTGGCAGACTCCTTGGCTGTCAAGGGGGGAAATGAGTGGAAAATAATTAGATTGTTAGATTTTTAATCTATAAAATATTATATAATTGATACTTTTAAGGTACATAATTTAGAAAGCATACTTGGATGTTTTTCTATTTTTCATCTCCTCCAAAATTTTTTTGTTTTGGTTATTGATGTTAAACAGAATCTACAACTTATTTTTTTTCACTTTAGATGTTACAGCTGAACTCTCAGGAACAGAGGACCCTATATTTCTTTACCCTGTAGTTTTAAATTGGTCAGTCAAAGGTGCTATGAAAGAAGGTAGGTGACCTAAATGTATATGTGCTAATCACTCAACCTACTATTGAAAGTCATTTATTTGGTGGATTTTGCTGTTGTTTGACACTTAAAGGTCTAACCTATTCCATGCAGAAGACTTGGGATTCTTTACCCATTCAGAGTAATTCATAGCCTTGATTGTCAAATAATGGAAAAGACCTAAACAAGTACCTGATAGAAAGTTTGGGAACACAGAACCTTGATGGTGGCTTATTTGGGTAGTAAACAGTTTTATTCTAAAACACAAAAAGTAGAGAATTGAAAAAATGTGCTAGTGATCTTTAAGTTCAGTTATGTAGAAATTAGTGCAATATAATAATAATTAGGGTAACTATTAATTCTGATTATTATCAGAGATTTTTTCCAACTAGTCATACATGAGTGGCCACTGTTATGAAATCTTCCTTAACACTGAGATATTTGGAATATAAAGGAAATATAAACTGTGATGGATTATTTGATTTTAGAAAAACAGTAGTTCTCACCACATTTATTCCTACATATATTTTAAGAGTGAGAAATCTTAAAAGCAGGTTGATAAACTTGCCTGCTAGAACAAAATGATTTTTAGTAATAGTAACTTTTTAGCACCAATAACTAAGTGTATTAATAACTATGTATGAGCTTCCTTGTTTTCACAGTTATGAAATTTAAGCAGAGACCTAGATTCCTGGAATTTTTTACGCAAATTATGCTAAAATGTATGAGTGATGAAAAATTTCACCTTGTGGTGGAGATAACGAATCCTGTCTGTGACTTCTTGAGAAGGTACGTACAATATCTATTCTAGTGCTACTAACAGCTTAACAAATGAGTAACATTATCACGTAAAGATATATAAGGTAGATGAAAAATAGTGTAGGATATAGACATTTAAAACAGCCATCCAGGATATAGTGAGGATTTATGTTCATGGTAGGTAAATAAGTCAACAAAAATATTTATACAGCTGAACTAAGGAATAAGATTAGAGCATATTCATAATTGAAGCAGGAAATAAATTAGGCCACTTTTACTGTTGTGTCAAGATGGGTAATAACATCTCTGGGCCATCACCTCCGCAGGCATAGCCTTCTCCGTCCAGCTTTGGTCATTACTATGCTCTTCTAATCCCTCTACATTAGTGAGCAGAGCCATTCCTTGGGGCTCCATTTGCATATGTGAATGGGAAGTTCCTCAAATAAAAGTAGTAAAACTTAAAGCCATCGCCCTTGTCCTCTAAGCATGAGTGGTTCTCTTTGCTCCCAAATACAATTATAGTGTTTCATGCCAGTTATGAGAGACGCCAAATGAACCCAACTTTCATCCCAACAATTGGGTTTTCCTTTCACCACTATGCTTAGATGTATCTCATTTTAGTAATAGGGAGCATGGGTAACATGGGGTCTATTTAAAACATGGCAGCAGAAGAGAAACATCATCATAAAAACACACAGGAAAATAGTCTTCCTAAAATAGGCATTTCTGTTATTGGAACAAACACTTGGAATATATGTGCTTCTTATTTTTGAAAGGTAAGAGAGGAAATTGCTTGCATTAAAATGAAGCAGGCCATAGTAATGAGTTTTGCTAAGAATTAGAAAGTTCCATTACCTTTTTAAAAAACCATAGCCAAAATTAGATGTTTAGGAGCTGTAAATAATATTCTTAATACCAAAGAAAATTAGAAGACACTATCACTGTGCAGTAGAATTTGGAGGACTGACCTTGGAGGTCCAATCCAAGCAAAATAGAGACTCTGAAAGAGGAAACAGTGGCTTAGAAGCATTGCCCAACTGTATGTATAATAAAAGACCTGAGGCTGAAAATCGAGCAGTATTGAGTGCAAACTCAAGGAAATGACTTCAGTGTTAAGCCTGAGCAGATGTTTTGGGATGCTCCTCTGCAAGTCAGGAAGTGTAAAGGAGGGGCAGATGCGACACCTTGATTTCTACTTTGACAGTGATGGGCTTCTTTTGTGTTCATATGCTTACGTAGTTTTACGCAAAGAAATGTTCTCCGGTTGCAACAGACACACATGCAGCTATGTTTTCTTCCATCCTTTTGATTTCATGGTTTCTATTTAATGTTTTAATCCATATAGAATTTTTTGGTATAGGGATTTAGATTAACCTTTAGTTTGTCCCCCCCCAAAATGTTATCAATTGTCCCAGTAATATTTAAAAGAATGTTAATTTTTGTTACTTGGTTCTAATGCCACCTATTAACATTCAAAGTGGATGATTCTACCAGTAATGCTTGTAAATTACAGTGAAGATATTTCATGAACTTTCATGTCCTCCATAACAAAAAGTCAAAGTATGTGGAAAAACTGCTGAAAGACAAGGCTGATTTGACAGAAACATGATATAGAGTTTAAGATGCTACTTTAAAAAAGAAATAAAAAGGACATAGAAAATATAATGTAATTAAGATTAATTTACTGTATATAGTCAGTTGAGACTAAACACACTTTAAAACATTCATTAAATTAAGAAAATAATATTTAAGCAGAAAAATAAAGCACACCAGATCACTGAGATTAAAATTTGTAAAGACCACATTCTTTTACGGTGTAATTAAACAGAAATTTTATAACAGAATAAATCACTGGCATATGAAATTATTGGATTTTATATGCCAGCCTAAAAGAACTGTAACTACAGTTATGGAGCCTTTTAGAAATAATGATCATGAGAAAACCTAATATCACATGTACTCAAAGCAGCACTTAAGAGACAAATTTTTATCTTTAGAAGCTTTTATTACTAAACAGGAAAAGTAAAATTAAATGAACTTTTATTGAACTCACAAAGTTAGAAAAATAAAATAAATTTAAGAAAGCAGAAAGAGGAAAATAAAAGTTGAAATTAATCCACTATGAGTTGGTATTAAACTAGTTCAATTGAGAAATGCTGGGGCTGGTTGTCTGGAGATATATATAAATTAGGTACATTTCTGGCTGTTGTAGAAAAAGCAAAATGCAAGTAAGTGAAGATAATCATAAATTTGAAGTGGTTAAACAAACGTTTGATAACAGTGTATACAATTAATATGAATAACTTGAAAATCTAATTGAAAGTGGTGATTCTCTGGAAAATTTTAATTGGAAGAATGGATTGAAGCTGTAAAAAATAGGGTAGCTCAGATATTTTAGGCTAGTTATTTTATATTTTAAAGAAACAGATAATTTTTTATTTATATAAAGCTAGTTCAGGATGTGGGTGTAAAGTCTCCTACTAAATTTATCACAGGAGGCTCTGGTAACAGCTTTATAAAAAGACAATAAAAATAGAAAATTATGGATTGTTCTTACTTATCAGTATATAGAAGCAAAAATAAAAAATATGATACTGGGTTATAAATGCAGCAGTGAAAATGTAAATTTTATTCTTAATATAAATATAGGAGTAGGAAATCTATAGTATAATTTTCAGTGGTGGTCAAAGGAGTGTGTAGTAGATGCTAAAAAGTCACGTGGAATTCAGCAGTCATTCCTGGCAGATCAGGCTTAGAAGAATATTTTCTGTTAAAATAAGCTTTGCAACAAGAAACCCTGTTATTCTTTGTATTGCTTAATACTGTTTTGAAACTTCTTGCCAGTACATTAAAATGAGAAATAGAAATTATGATTAGAATTTATGTGATTATCACATAATAGGGTCTCAAAAACGTTTGTCAAATGAACCTTATAGTACTCTGAAAATGAAGATAAAATGATATTTGCAAATAATTATTTTTTAACTTAAGCTAATTAACTGAAATCTTTCAGAACTAATAATAGAATTCCACAGGATGGCTTGGTGCAAAATTGCAAAATCAATAGCCTTCCTATATCAAATAGAAAGTACAGTAGCAGAATTATCCCATTTCTATGAAGTACAAGATTGAATTTATTAGGAGTTGTGAGAGGATTCAGGTTAATATAAAGAAGACCAAACATCCTTACCAAGAGATAGTAAATAAATTACTTGAGTAAGTGGAGAGATGTAATATATTGCTCAAAGGGCAGATGGAATATTGTAAAGATTTTTATTACCTTCAAATTAATTTATAGGTTTAATGCAGTTCCAATAGATTAGTTTATATGGAATGGGCTAGAATAATTATAATATTTGAAAACTTAAAAAGAGAAAAAGGAAAAATTTTTACTACCAGATAAAGTGTTTTTGACATAATAGGCAGCCAGCCTTGGACTCAATGTTTTGAGTCAGAAACATGCACTGACATAACTAGTCAAATAAGGAATAGACCATGACATCAAAGATCAATACTGTTGACAACATAAAAATTTAAAAATACTATTTTTTATAACAACATGAGCAAAACAACAGCAGTCAGACTTGGAGGAAGCATTTTATGAGGAGGTTGCTCTGTGAAGGAGTTTCATTTAATCAGCTGACCAGAGAGGTCTGCTGAGCACGGAGGGGAATGTGAGAGGCTTGAAAAGATGGCAGCCCAATTGTGCATTCATGACCTTCCTTCCCCTCTTTTCCTGGAATATAGCAGCCAGGTCAAGTGTTCTGGTGGGATGGGGTGGGATAGAGAGGAGGTAAGAAAGAGATCAAGCTGCTTGGAAAACAGCCGGCAACCAGTTTCAAGTTGCCTATTGCAAAGGATGGATCTCCAAATGCCCAGTGGTCACTGGTCCAAGCTTCCTAGTTCAGGCAGATAAAACATTTGCCAATATGAATATTGACTAACTGGGAGATTATTGGAATTGCTGCCACTGGGCTGGAGTTCAACCAACATAAAGATCTAGAATCATTATCCAAATTGAAGCAAGAGGCTGACCACCAGTGGGACCAAGATGAATTTGGAACTGTAATTATTGTAACTAGCTATCCAGACGTACCCAGCCATTTTGTTAGCCTTGCATGGATGGGACCCAACGTGTTATTCAATGCAAGCTTTGGATGTTATTTAGCATGTGACAGCAGGGCGCAGCTGTACTTATCAAAAGAAAAATAAATTTTAGGGACTGTGCAGCTTTCAGGGAAAATCAGTGATAAGTGTCAATAGAGGGCAATAATGAGAGACTTCATAACATTTTCAGAGTGGGCCAGATTACCACAGGGGTTCATGGCAGATTGAAAAAGCAAGGTTAAGAATTCCTACAGGTGATCGGGGGAAGGGAGAAAGTATAGTAGTCATCGGCAGAGCTTAGCTTTATTGGTGTCCAGAGGTCATAGTGGCTAGAAGCTTGCACATGATGGAACCAGAAAGACTGAAATCTGTTGGAAGCAAGGTATCTCGCCTGGGTTCACTCAAGCAGTTATCTTCTGAGCTTCATAGTGAAGTGTTCACGTTTTATTTCTGGTCCAATGCATTGTTTCTACATCACACGTCAGCTCTGATAAAATGTTATGGTACAATTTATATTGTGATCTTTTGAGAGGCCAACTGCTCCTTGAGGACCAGGAATATCAGTCTAATTTTGGATTTTTTTTTTTGCATAATTTTAGTGACAACATTCATTATAGATTTAGTACTTTTATATAGTTTTACAGATTCTTGCAGATTTTTTTTAACTGACTTTATCTTTTTTGTATTAGGAGAAACGAGTCCCTTCTTGGAGTTAAAAAATTGAAATACAAGGACAGTCTGTTGAGTAAAAGGGCAGCTAAACCTGGGAAGAACCACAAAGCTGCAGTCATGGAGATAAAGAGAGTAAGTTTCATTCGAGTTTTGAAATATGGGTTAATGAAATGATGGGATTTACATATCTACGACTATTGGCTGTATTATAATTTATTATAACATGTAACAGAAGAAAATGCTATGATGCATACTTTTATAGTTATTAAATTCTTAAATTCTCATATGGATATTTTCATAATCCTATTTCCCATCTACAGGGGTATTTTTGTTACTTTTGATAATAATTTTAATTGAGGGGTGTAAAGAAACCACTGTATTTAATGTCAACAGATAAGCATTAGAGTATGAGTAAATTATATTCAATAGTGTTCAGAATTTTAGTTTGTAACCTTTTTTGTTTTATTCTGTATTAAGGCTTCGGATGTACAAAGAAGAAGAAGTAAAAAAAGAGAGACACTAAGAGAATATTTTTCTAGAAATCCAGGTTTTTCTGAAATGCCGGAACATGAAAGGTATTGTATTATTTAATTAATCTAATAAGCATGAACTCGAAGGTTACTATGTGTTGGGCATTCTTTGGGGGTGTAGCGGTACACTGGTTAACTAGACAGGTAAGGCACTACCCTCAAGGAGTTTCCATACTAATGAAAGTGGCACAGTAAACAAGTAAACATACACATAGACAAGGTGATTAAAATTTTTATAAACTTTATAAAACAAGAGACCAGGATGATATACTACAGACGAACTGGCCTGGGGTGGAGGTGAGTGCAGCAGGAGTGTAGATAGTGTGGTCAAGAGACCGAACTGCTGAATTACCTTTTATTCCTGGTGGACCTAATGTTCTTGTTGATAAAACTTAAGCCATAAAACTTATCATGGTGAAATGCTTAGCTTCTATTTTTATGAGTATGAACTTATGATTCTTATACAGTCTTTATATATCTTACCTTCATTATATAATGTCTTTACTCACTTATAGATTTTGATCTTAATTTGTAACTCTAGATATTAATAGAACCATTCTCACTTTCTTCTTATTGCATCTGTCTACTATCTGATTGTTTCTTTACTTTTTAAATTTAAATATAACATATTTTAGATGGGTGTAGGAAATAATATAACAAATGAACATATGCAGTTAACCATAAAAATATTTCAAACACAGTTGAAATTCCCTACACCCCTCTCAGAATGCATCTTCATCCCCCTTTGTCCAGGAAGCAGTTTATCATGTTTATGAGCGACTTTATACTTCAATTATATATGTATGCAGGCCTACATAATACATTATTTTTTATAATCTGCTTGCCAATTTTCTCTTTTTCCTAAATGTTATGTTTGTGAGGTGTTTTTCTATGTCTATTACACATAAGTCTAGTTATTCATTTTACTTTTGTATAGTATTCCATTATATGAATAAATAAGCTTTATTCAGTCTCCTGTAAATGGGCATTTAAATTGTTTTTAAGTGGGGGGCAGTTCCCAAGACATGAACATCTTTGTTTTTTATACCCATTATACGATATTGCTAAGTTGCTCTTAAATTCTCATCAGTGGTGTTTCAATTCACCATCTTCACCAAAACTTGATATTATGACCAATTTATAATTTTTTGTGAAACTTTGAATTGTAAAATTTTATCTCTTTGGTTACTGATGAGGTTAGGCATCTTTTCATATTTTATTAAACCCTAGGGTTTTTCTAGTCTCAGTCCCACTTGTTTAGATATTTGCACATTTAAACACTTTGTTTTTTGCTAGTTTTTTGGTAGAAGTTTGAATATTAATGCTTTTCCAACTTTGTGGCTCATCTGTATACTCATACATTTTAAAGTGTTTCTTTAAATCAAAGGTTGTAATTGTTAATGAAGTCGATTGTAATAATAGTTCTAGTTGTTGTTTTTGAAATTCTTCTGTCACTGGAGGTCATAAGGCATTTTCATAGTGAATTTAAATTCTTGATTGTCACATTTAGGAATTCTATTCAACTACAATCTAATTTTGTGAATTGTAGGGAAAGCGTAGCCCCCTCTCTTATAGTTTCATTAATGGGCACCCAGCTGAGTAGTCTGCTCTGTGATCACTGTCGCTTTCGTCATTCAGCAAGTTTTCACCTGTGGAGTTTTGGGGTCTCTTTTATGTCCCATTAGTCTGTTATCTATTCTTGAGTCAGTATCACACCATCATACTTACTTTCGCTTTAAATGAAGTCTTGTATGCTAGGAAAAGTCTCTCCAGAAGGTTCTTTTCCTTTATTTGTCTTAAGTCTTGGACATTTTTCTGCAAAATAGTTTGGAGTAGCTTGTCAAGTAGTACAAAAATCTTGTGATTTTGATAGAGATAGAATTGAATATAAAGATCAATTTAGGAAGTTTTTTAAAAACAATATTGAGTCTTTCTATTCATAAGCAGACCACTTAGGTATTAATTTAGTGCCTTTCAATAAATTTTTATGATATTCTCCAAAAAGGTATACATATTTTGTTAGCTGCATCAAAGAAATACTTTTTGTATTAGTGTAAACAGTATTTTAAGATTACATTTTGTAATCTTAATTACATTTTGTAATCTTAATTATATAGAAATATAATTAATTTATAAACAACTTGGTCTTCTGTACAAATTGATAATTGATTCATAGATACAGGTTTTTGTGTAGACAGTCAAATTATAAATAGATAATGAAAGTTTTGCTTATTTCTTTCTGATGTGCAAGGCTCTCTTTTCCTGTTCTTGTCTAGCCTATAGGTTAGGACCTCAAGATTAATATTGAATAGAGTTTCTGATTGTGGACATTTTTGATGTAACATGCATTTAAAAAACTTTTTATTTTTGGATAATTGTACATGTACATGCAGTTATAAGAAATAGTACAGAGATCTCTCATATATCCTTCACCCAGTTTCTCCTAAGTTAACTATTTAACTATAGTGCAAGAGCATAACCAGGAAATTGACAATGATGCAATCCATTGACCTTATTCAGACTGCAGAAATTTTACACGCACACATATGTGTGCGTATATTTAGTTGTGTGCAGTTTTATCACGTTTGTGGAGTTGCGTGACTGTCACCAGGAGGAAGATACAGAACAGTTCTCTCATGAGCATCTGCCCCCAGCCCGCACGCTACCCTTTTGCAGCGACAGCCAGCCACCTTCCTTCCTCTCCCCCACAACCTCTGGGAGCCCCCCATTTGCTTTCCATCTCTATAATTTTGTCATTTCAAGAATGTTATACAAATGGAATCATACAGTATGTAAATTTCAGAGATTGGCTTTTTCTTTCCACTCAGCGTAATTACTTTGAAATCTACCCAAGCAGTATGAATAACTAGTTCACTTACTACTTAACACTATTCTGTGGGATGGATGTGCCACAATTTGCGTAGCCATTTACCCTTTGATGGACATTTGCATTGTCTCTGGTTTTGACTATTAAGAACAATGATGACATGAACATTCGTGTACAGATTTTTTAAGGGCACATAAATCTTTATTTCTTGGGGGTAAAATGCCCAATAGTGCAATTGCTATGTTGTATTGTAAGTTTATGCTTAATTTTGTGAGAAATTCCACACTCTTTTCTAATCTGGCCCTACCTTTTTACATTGCTACCAGTGGTGTATGAGTATTCTAGTTTTTCCTCCCACTTTCCAGCATTTATTGTTACCACTGTTTTGTATTTTAGGCATTAAAATAGGTAGTGCTGATATTTTGTGCCTTTAATTTGCATTTCCGTAATGGCTAATGGTACTGAACGTCAGGTGGAATGACACTGCCCCATGGGACAGCAACATTGTCAACAGTCAAGAAAAGTTGATAAAAGTATTTTGAAGAAATGAAGTCATGCCATATAAGCAACTATGTGACAATAAAAATAGTTGGACTGCTTCGAGATTCTGATGAGAATACTTTTTTATTGTTGTTCAGGTTACAGTTGTCTCCATGTTCCCCTCACCACTCCCCCATCCCCACCTCCCACCCTCAATTCTGCCCGCCTTTGGCCTTGTCCATGGATCCTTCATACACGTTCCTTGATGATCCTTCCCTGTTTTCCCCCCATTATCCCCCTTCCTCTTTCTGTCTGATTACTGTCAGTTTGTTCTTTATTTCACTGTCTCTGGTTATACTTTAAGCAAATATACATTATACTTAAAATATGAACTATTAGATAAAATTTGAAATACTAGTTTTTCAGAGTATATTGAATATAGATTTATGAAGTTATTTTATTTATTGTCAACTGATGTTTTATTTCATTTTAAAGTCTAGCTAATGTTAGAAAAAATGTTGCTTCATTGTTTTTTCTTAAGGAACCATACAGAGGAATGATTTTGTTATTCAATACTGAAGTTAGTTGATGTATGTGAATAATTATGTTATAATTTACTTGTCTAATCTGACTTGTCTTTTGGTTATGAAAAACAAAAAAAGCTCTGTTTGGTTTGAGCTTAAGACACAGATATTAGAGAGAACTGGGGAAAATACGTAGGGACTTCATCCCTGGTGTGTATTCTTGTGCCTTCTTTATTGCCTTATTTTACATTTCACCACTAAGTAAATGATAAATAAGCCAGAAACACTTGCGGAAGGGCAGGCAAGTGGCTTCTCGATCATGTACAAATTGGAATTATTCCTCTTCGAATATCTGAAAGTTTGTGTAATTTCAAAACTTCTTTGTCCCTTGGTAGAAATAAGAGAACTGATGTTAGAAAACTAGCACACCGAATCCTGCTGGATTACTTGAATCCTCTAATATTTAATTATGTTAAAAAGAAGAGGTTCCATCAAATCTGTCTTGAGGAGATGCCCTGGAAGGCTCAGATGAACCTGTGTCTGGCAAATGCACACTTTAGCCTGTTTCTGATAAAGCAAGGGGAACGGATGAAGATGAAATGTGGAGCTCCTCACAAAATGGTCAGGTATAGTGTATTATCCATGAATAATACTTTTAAAGTCTCTAGCACATGGGCTGTATTTGTATGCTCAGGGCTCCAATGTTGATAATAATTAAATAGGTTTACAGAGTGCTTTTGTCTTTCCTGGCCATTGATATATTTCTTAATTTCTTATCTTAGAATCTTTCCCAAACAAGTGACGGACGTAAGTGCTTATCAAGTACTAATTTGCATATATCTTGACAATGTTTCTCAGTATAGCTTTCAGTGAAAGGAGAAAACATCATTCCAAGAAAAATTTAATATTGATTGTACAATAATTATAGATATTAGCAGGCATTAGGCAAATCTCTATTTCATTTAGAGATATTTTAAGCCTCTATGAATACAATGGTAAACCTCTATAAACACAGGTCATATTTCCTCATACAATATAAAGTTTCTATCGTTAATTCAAATGACATTTTTGAACTTTTACTCAATGTCTTTGGCTAAACTGTTGTTAAAAATAGAAGATAAATACATAAATGGAATATTATGTAGCTGTTAAAAGGTGATATAGAGTCATTCAGATAATACTTGTTGAACCCCTGTGGGATACAAGGTACCGAGACAGGTGCAGTGGGCATACAAAGATGAGCAGGTTATGCAAGTTAGAATCTGGTAGGATGGATCACAAATACTCATGAATAATTGCAGATACTGGTCGAAGTAGAAGTACTCATACAGTCTTCCTTATTCCTGAGAAGAAGGCTTTACTCTGGCTGAGACCAATAGGAAAGACTTCATGGGGAAGGGCTGCTTGGCCTAGCTCTTGATAGATAAGCAAGATTTAGAAATATGCAGATATAGAAACACCATTCCAGTAGGTGGAAAGTCATGACTTACGGCCCAGGTAGGAAAAATGCAGGATGAGAACCCCAAAGGGTCTAACCAGAATCTGGGGTGTTTGATAGGGAGTGGTTTGAAATAATTAGCAAGTAGGTCAGTACCAGGTTATGGAGAGTCTCAACTGTATATTAAATCTGAACTTTAATCTGTGGGACAATGTTAAGAGTTTTGAGCAGGGCTATGATAAGAAATTTCTCCGGCAGCAACATACCAAATAGATTGAAGGAAGGAAAGACTGGTGACAGATAACATAAATTAAGAGGGTATTTAGTTCAATAAGTCAGTAATAAAGTATGCCGGTTGAAGTCGACAATGAACTTGGTTCCAGTTTCTGCTTCTCCAGAATTTTGGTTACAATCAGACTGAACCTTTGCAGAAATGGCTCTAGTTAGACCCCTTTCGTATGTAGGATTGACCACATTTGCACTTAAGAAGGAGTTAGGAAAAAAGGTGAAACGGATTTAGAAGTACAAATTGCCAGGTATAAAAATAGTCGTGGAGATGTAAAGTGCTTCATAGGAAATACATTCAATAATAGTGTAATCACCATGTGTGGTGTCGGATGGGTACTAGACTTACTGGGGAGATCACTTCATAAGGTATATAATTGTGGAATCACTATATTGTACACCCAAAACTAACACAACACTGTATGTCAACTGTTGTAACTGAAAAATAAAATGAAAAAAACACAAAGCGACATAGTAAAAAAACAAACGGTAGACCTCATGCAAGTCAAGCTTTTGCTTTCCTAGGTGAAAAAAGTGGTTAGATTGCCGGGCCTGCAGGGAGGCTTTGACAGTGATCCGTTCCTGAGGCCATGAGGAGGAAGACCGTTCAGACCAGAGGGGCTTTCTTACTGTCCTCTGACCACCGAGAAGTCTTCTCTGAACTCCCAGTCATACATAACCATTCCTGTGTGATTGTTTGGCAGCACAAATTTGGGTGGTCAAATTTGTGTCAGGGAAAATTGGTGCTAAATTCAGTTTTATTCAAGCCATTAATATGTTTACTCGGGATGTATATATAACATATGTATGTACGTATGTGCGTATGATGGAAGATTGTTTATTGCTTAGACCTTATTTATTTATTTTTACTCTCATCCCAGGATGGGCTTATTGATTTTAGAGAGAGGGGAAGGGAGGGAGAGAGGTAGAGAAACATCAATGTGAGGGAGAAACATGGATAGGCTGCCTCTTACAAATGCCCTTACCAGGGACCGAACCTGCAACCCAGGCATGTGCCCTGAACTGGGAATTGAACTTGCACCCTTTCGGTTTATGGGGAGATGCTCCAACCAGCCAAACCACACCAGCCAGGGCTACACCTTATTAAAAAAACAAACAAGCACTGATTACAGACACACTGGTATATGTTGTGGGCATAATCATGGAGTTGTGTTTCAATCAGGTGGTTTTAAGTTGACATAAATTACTGTTTCTGTGCTTTAGGGTGTGTATAGATCCTCCATCCCCATTCTCATGGGCCCTTTAAGCAAAATAGGTATGGATGTTAAAATTCCTAAGAGCAAAGTTACATCATATAATTTTAACATTCAATGGACAATTGTTTGGTTTGGTTAAATGCCCAAATGCATTGTGATCCAAAATTCGAGAGCACTAACTCACAAATATGTAAAAAATTAAAGTAGATTATATTTGACAGATTGAATTCAGTTTTGCTTGTATTATTTTTTAATACACATTTTTCCCTGTTGCAGTTTTCGATCATGTGATCCCAGTGTATTCTCACTGTATAATTCAGGAACAGTATTGCCAACAGGAAAACTGACTCTAGAAAACTATAAAGTGATGCTTGAGTTCCTTCATACACCTATGAAAGGAAAGGCCAGCTTACCATCAGGTAAAATAAATCAAAATACTATCAGTTGCCTCTAGATTTTTTTCACTAATGCAATGCACTCCCCCCACTCCCGAAAACACACTCTTGGCAGACACACAGAAGGACACACACCGTTTTCCAATGACCCAGGAATTTAGTTGAGTTGTGATATTTTGTAGGAGACTCATACTTGCCTATTTTGGGGAGTACCTATATTGTGTTCTGACCTAAAATAATTTAATGATTTAGCAAATATAATGTTCTTTTACAAACATTGGTAACCGCCAGTGGTCAAGGTAGACGAAGACTTGCTCTCAGGTATTATATTTTAGTGGAAGTAGGTCTCCGAACCAGCTCCCCCAAACCTACCACTGCCAGCAGGCCTGACCACAGTCGCGTGGTATGTTACAGTGCCGACCATGTACTCAGGGCAGTGTGTTCTCACCTTACGACCCCCAACTCTCGCCTTCCGTGAACACTGACTCCAAGATGAATGCAGCAGTTCAGGTGGCAGGACCAGTCAGTATTGTCATGTGGTCAGGGGACAGGCGTCTCTGAGAGGCGGAAAGGTGCGGGTGAGTGGAGCTTTCCTTCTGTACTGATGAAACTCTTCCTAAGCAACCACCTACCTTGAGTACCACTCACTGCACAAATAAAAAATTAGAGAGTTTCTATAAATCCTCTTATGTAGGTTTTTAATCATGGTATTTTGAGTGCAGTGTAACTTACTGCTGACCATTATACTTCACCGGCTGGCTAACTGTCCCAGGAAGTTGACTGGTACCTGCATGTCATACTATGAATGTTGAAGTATTTGAAAGTAAATTTCCTAGACAAAGAAAGAGTTTGAGTTTCATATGTAGATTATGTCATACAACTTCTTGAGTTTTTAAAAAACTAGCTGCCTACCTAAGACCTTCCATGAAGTCGGCAACAGAATATTCTGCTATTGAGACTTGCTATGTAATGCAGAGTTCTAAGAGGAGGCAGGAGAAATTTCCTGTGGTTTCATACCAACAGGAGAATGAGTGGCCAGGGTTTGCTCCACTGACCACATCTGGGAATGCTGCTCACCTTCTAGGGATGGTCCTGGGAATGGCCTGTTTGGGGAGAAATTCAGGAACAGTGATCTCATCATTGTTCCCTCAAAAAAAAAAAAAAAGACATTGCTGCTTCTGCATTGTTCCTTTGCAGGCCATCCATCACCTTTGCCTGGAGTGTTCTTCTCCATAGTTTTCCTGCAGAGCTGAGTCATACCCACCTTTTAGCACCCAATCTAAGTGCTTTCTTCTCTAGAAACTTCATGATTTCTAGAAACTAAATTATTCATGGTGTTCATGATAATCCTGTCTTTTCTCCAACATTATGTAGCAATTGTTATCTGAATTACTGATTTGATGCTCACCACCTACTGTGTTATCTGGAATTTCACCCTCTGTTTTCAATAACGTTATACTTTATTTTTGTACCGTAGATGCTGATGAGTTTTTGACACTTATTAATCCCCAAATGAGTGATGAAAATGTTTCTAAAGCACAAACAGTTTCTGACTCAGACCCTCAATTAGGTCTTAGTAGTAAGGAAAAGGATCGATCATCAAATTTGGGTCTATTGGATCATTTTATGAAAATCTTTTTATACTGCAGGAGAGCAATGGTAAGGTGGTCTTTTGTATTTGCTAATGTTGTAAACATGAGTCTCAGCCCATAAATGTGGGTATGTAAGATTGAATGTATTTATTTATTTCCTGTCTGTAATTTGAGTTTTAATTTTGAGACTAAAGTTGCTGGGTTTAGTGTCAGTTGTGTGTGAGGTTTGCCTGCCATGGTAACGAGGTCTCATGCATTGTTGAGTTGTCAGGGAGAAGGGTGAGCCCCTTTAGTCACCAGTCATCCCCTGCCCAGGGAAGAGGTGGCCATTGTCCCTGTCTACACAGTCATCGTGGATATTCACATAGTCCGCTGCTACTTCCTTGCCACACTTGGGACATGGGCTTCTCTGGCGAGGGTTTCTCTCACCAGAGTTTCTCTCTGGAATCTTGATTCCTCCTGGGGTACTATAGATCCCTTTCTTTCCTCTAACACGGGGGAGATATTTCTAGACCACAGGAAAGATCTGCCTCAGGCCCCTGACCTTCTGCTTCTAAGGCCATTGGTGTTTTCTCTCAAATGGTTTTCTCTTTTCCTTCTTAAATATTATACAATAGATTATTAGACTCAGAATTGGAGTCATTAGCTACAAACTAATTAGTTTCCTTCTTTCTCTTAGTAAGGAGTGGGATACTTCAGTCCCTTCAAGACGTAATAGGAAAGCTACCCTTCCTAGACAAAAGAGAAACATACGTAAATTCCCATATTTTCCCTGGAGTGGAGAGAATGCTTTTTTAAAATGTCAAGTAAACCCACATCATCTTCAGTGGTGTCCATAGTGTTATGGATGCGATGAACAAATTCGCAAGGACTGCAGATGTCCTGCAGAGAAAAGGGACAGTGTGGCCACTCTCTGAGTGAGAGAAAGCCCCAACCCTTGTCTGGACAGGCTTTTATTGCTTTTCTGGGAGTGTTACATCAAGGAAGGTCCTCATTCATTATGCACAGGTTTACTTTAGGTGATTACTTTTTACAAATAACAAAGAAAGATGTTGCTGATTACTTCTTACAGGTAACAAAGAAAAGGATGCTGCAAATGCCAGGGGAAAAGTGGGTGAACTGGTTACACTCCATCCTTGGGAGGTTTAGCACAGACGTTAGGAAGTTACTTCAAATATGCACTAAACATTTGGTGCCTTAACTCAGGGTGAGGGAGTTTTAGCAAAAGCAAGCCTTAAAGCAGCCTAGATATAGTGCAGGCCTGGTTCCCCATGGGAAAGCCAATCTGTGGGACTGGCTCCTATGTACCACCTTGTGCCTGTCGGTTTTCTGAATCATTGATGAGCTACATTTGCCACTGCCACGCAGACTGGTTCCCTGTACATGACATTGCATCTTGCTCCCCTTTCCACCACCTAGAAGGTCTGGGTCCTGCTCACCTTTACGAACTCAGCTCCTCTTGCTTTTGTTCAGTCCAGCCTCCCCCTCTCCAGTTTTTAGATTATTTATTTATCTTTAGAGGGGAAGGGAGGGAGAGAGGGAGAGAAATATCAATGTATGGTTGCTTCTGGTGCACCCCCTGCTGGGAACTGGCCTGCAACCCACGAATATGCCCTGACTAGGAATCGAACTGCGATCGTCTGGTTCGCAGGCCCGCGCTCAATCCACTGAGCTACACCAGCTAGGGCTCCCCTCTGCAGTTTTGAAAGCACTAAGCTTGTTTGCTTCTCAGCCTTCAGGTTCACTCTCCATCCTTTGCACTTGGCTGTTCCCTCAGCCTCAAATGCCCTCCCTAAACCAATACTCCTATCGCCACCTTCCCATGACTTGTTCAACTCAACATTCAATAAGTCACCTCCTGTGAGAGGACCTCTCTCCTGACCACATTGTCTAAAAGGATGTGTTTTCTCAGCCTTGTCAGATTCTGATGCATTTCTGCTTTATTTTTCTTTACAATGTTTATTATTCATGAAAGTACATTTTTATTTGTCTACTAACCTAGTGTTAGTCTCCCCTAATAAATTGAGGCACCATGAGAACAAAGACTGGTTTTTCTTGCTCACTGCCCCATTTCTGGCAGTCAGGATAATGGGAGTGTTGGAGTCAGGCCTCTAATGTGCAAAACTTAGCTCATTACTTAGTAGATTCATGATCTTGGGCGGGTTAGCTCCATGACTCCATTTTCTTATCTGTAAATTCTATAGACTGCTAGTGCCTACCTACTTCATTGGCACTATTGTAAGAAGGAACCAAAATGATGCATATAAAAGTCTTACCAGAGTGTCTAGCACATATAAGTGGCACATGACAAATGGTGTTAGTTATTTTCATTATTGACATACAGTATCTACAGAAAGATGAAGTTGTTCAGAGATCTGTAACTTTTGGGACTTCGAATGTTGTGTTTGTTGTAGGTTCTTGCTCATCGTGGGGGCTTTTGGACTCTGCTTCAGAACTGCTGTCGGGCCCTTTGGAACTTTACTCAGGAGCTACAGATACTTCTTAGGCATGCAGTGGACATGTGTAAAACATTCCCCATTAGTCAGGACGGGTTCATCTGTATCTCTGTGTTACCATTCTACCTGGGAGCAGAATTACTTATTGACATGTTGATAGAACTACAAAATACCAATTCTATTGAGGTAAGAGTATTTGGGTAATTATTTTTATTGTATTCAATTAACAGATATTTTTGTACCATGCAGTTTTGGATAAGTAGAAATTAATATAGTTCTTGAGTCCTTGGTTTGTCTGTATCTCATTTCATTATTAGTTCATTATATATATATATATATATAACTTGCATTGGTGTTAATTACAGATATCTCCTCTGAAAATTCAATTTCTTAAAAGGAACAGCAAGTGACATTTACTAAACTCCAGCTTCCACATAAACTAACCTTAATGTATTTGATCCTCATAGCAATCCTTTGACAGGGAAAGAAACAGACCCCAGAGGGATCATAAACTTGACTTTGATCTTTATTTCACTGCTTTATTTGTCCCTGTTCTGTTACTTCAGATCTGGTAATATTTGCCATTTAAAATCTTTCACACTGTGGTTTTAAAGCAAGAAAATAACATTGAAAAAATTCAAGCATGACATATCCTAAGCACATTGAAAATCAGTTAACATAGTAAACACAGCCATGGAGTAATTTCCATGTGTAAAATGTATGGCAACACTAGCACAAAAGATGGGAAGGATAAATAAACTGTGATAAGTTTTTATACTTTACATAGCTATAAGGTGGTACAATATTAACTCTAAGTGAAATGTAGTAAGTTAAGGATGTGTTTAATAATCTCTAAAGTAACTACTAAAAAAGAAATACAGCTAAAAAGCCAACATAGTAAAATGGAAAATTAAATAATAGTTACCTGAAGAAGGCAGGAAAAAAGGAAAAGGAACAAAAAGATTATGGGACAAATAGAAAACAAAAAAATAACAAATTTAACAAAATTATGTCAATAACTTTATAAATATAAATGGATTGAACATCTCAATTACAAGGCAGAGATTATCTGACTGAATTAAAAAGAAAGACACGTATATTTGTCCTCAAGAGAAGCACTTTGAATATAAAGAAACAGATAGATTGAAAATAAAACAGAAAAAAGGTCTGTCCAGAAGGTAGTCAGCCACATAATATGAAAAATAGAGACATTGAAAAAGATACAAGATACAAGAAACATTGTATATAGGACAGTGAAGCCTCAGTCCCCTTCAAAGCAGGCCCCTTGGGACCTCACAGACTTCTTTCAATCACCATCAGCTGCCCTATCATATTTTCCTGAATCTCACTGATGGTCTGAAATCCTTTTCCTTTCAAAGGTGATTTTAGTTTTGGAAAGAGCCGGGGTGTCAAATCTTGGCTGGAGGGTGGCAGAGTCACCGGGGTGATTTGATATTTTGCCAAAAAACTCTGTACAAGACATGATGCGGGTGTGTTGTCATGATGAAACTGCCAATCACCAGTTGCGCACAGCTCAGGTGTTCTGAGTAATCCAAATAGTTTCTGTGGAGGAATGTTCAAGCTTCATCCAAAATGTGATGCAGGTTCATTGCTGTACTTACTCAGTCATTTTGAATGAGACAGCCACACAGCACACATGCTCACTCAACTGCATCTACAGCCCCCACTGACTAGTACAGTGAAGTCGTCATTGTTCACATGTGTGCATTCCAGTCCACTCTTCTGGCTGCCAGGTTACATCAATGTTCCACAAACCATTCCTGGTATATTAACAGTGGCTGGACTTTTTCTGGACAGACCTCGTATGTCATAAAAACAGTAAGCATAAAAAGCTGTTGAGGGCCCCAGCTGGTGTGGCTCAGGGGATTGAGCTCTGGCTGGCCAACCAAAGGGTCACCAGTTCGATGCCCAGTCAGGGCACATGCCTGGGTTGCAAGTCAGGTTCTTTGTGGTGGGGAGATACACAAGAGGCAACCACACATTGATGTTTCTCTCTCCCTTCTCCTCTCTAAAAAATTGAATAAATAAATAAATAAAATCTTTTTGAAAAAGCTGTTGACGAACCAGAGTATCGAGGTTTGATTCCCAGTCAGAGCACATGCCTGGGTTGCAGGCCAGTTCCCAGGAGGGGACGCACGAGAGGCAACCATACATTGATATTTCTCTCCCTATCTCCTTCCTTTCCCCTCTAAAGATAAATGAATAAAATCTTTAAAAAAATAAATAAAATTTAAAAAAATTTAAAAAGCTGTTTAGACTATATTAATATTAGATAAAGTAGTCTTCCAATTAAGAAGCTTTTGAGAGATAAAAAGGGACATTTCATTACAAAAAGAGGTTCTGTTAACTGGGGAACATACCATTCATAAATGTGTATACACCTGATAACAGAGACTCAGCACAGCCTCTGCACACCCAAAGCTTGGAACACAACACTTACCCAGTAATTCTCTAACTTAGGAACGAAGAGGGTCTCCGAGAAGAGTCCCTTCTCCATAGAGTTGACCTTTGCGTATGGGAATTGGACATATTATTCTACCAGCAAACAAATGTACCAGGGAAACTGAATTATTTGGACATAATAGAATCTGGTTTTTCTCAAATATTTGCCTGATTGGTTTCATATCCAAACTTAGACAGTGATTATGTTCAAGAAGTATAGACCCCAGTCTGTGCTAATAGAGTCATGACCAGACATTTGTGGCTATTTAAATTTAAGCGTAATTAAAATGAAATGAAATGAAAAATCTGGTTGCACCAGTCACAGTTCAATAGCACAGCGCCCCCACGTGCTGAGTGGCTGCCGTGTTGAACCAACGCAGCCCATTTCCGCCATCACAGAAGCTGGACTGGATGGCATTATCGAGCTTTCATTTGCATGAGAAAAATATTTTAAAGAATTTTTGTTCAGTTTTTCCATGTTATATTTTTATGTGTCAATTCATTTTTCCGGAACAAATGTGCAGTAAAATCTGAAATTACACATTTTTTAATGTGCTACTTGCAGATTATTGAAGACAAGGGAGAGTTCAGTGTTCCAAGTTGCTATGGAAATATTAAAAATGACAATGGTGGCTCTAGCCTTACTTTTGAGCATCCTTTGGATAATGTAAATGTGGTTGATTTGAAATGGATCCATGACTTTGTACTAAAAGCTCTGGAACTTTTATATCAAGTAGAAAAATGGGAAACACTAGTATCACTTGCCATTCAGTTCAATACAGTTTCACAGTAAGTACTGCTTGTAAGGGCAATTAAAATTGACAGACTTCATTGAAAAAATGTGCTTTAACTCCTGTGTGTGTTTTAATGTGTTTTCACCCTGTCTAGTGAGAGATAAACAGAACAAGTGACACCGCTCCTGGTGTATGCACAGCGCCAGCTTCTTCTAAGAATATCCAAGTCGGAGGGCCCAGACATCACACAACAGCCTTGTGTCAGACATGAGGCTGAACATCAAGAGAAGGTAAGTTTGCCTCTGTTATTCATGCAGTTGTGATTTCTTACCAGTACGCATGTGACAAAGATTTAGGAATCAGATACATGTTGCTATTTTCATGTGGGCACTTATCATTCAAATCGGCAGGCATTATGGAGGGCCTGCTGTGGCCAATATTTCCAGGAACAGTCAACTAAAGTAAATGCTCGCACACGAGAAACTCATCAGGGCTGATTATGCACCAGGAACAGTGAGGATGGTGTCTAGAGCTGTAACACTTTTAAGGGCGCACTAAATGTTTTAAATCTTTTTTTTAAATGACTTTATTGTTGTTCAATTACAGATGTCTGCATTTTCTCCCCACCACTCCCCCCAAACCCAGCCAAACCCACCTCCCTCCCTTGCTTTAATTCTTTTTTTAAATAAGCAGAAAACACCAACTTTTAGGTCAAAGGAAATATTTTTTACTATTAATATATTTATATCAATACAAGCGTGAAATATAATTTTCTCAATTTATTTTATGGAGGAGGAGTGGGCTCACAAAGGCAAAAGTGCCTCAGGCCCAGGAAACCCATGGTTCAGCTTTGCGTTAGGTGAGAGAAAGGAACAAGTAAATTCTCTTATTCGTTGATTGAATCAATGAGGTATTGAGCACCTAACATCAGAGTCCCTGCACTCGGCTGTGCTGTCTGCACCCTGCACACGGGCCTCTGGCACACGTGGGGGCTGACATTCAGCCCCTGCCCCCCGCACGTGTCTGTGTGCTTGTGTGTTGCAGCTGCTCCATGACGATTCCATTTTCTTCTTTTCACAAAAGGTCCCTATGGCCTTTTGCATGTTCTTACCTCCTGTTCATTTTGTGTAGATAGCCCACAGTCTGAATTCTTGCTTTATGGAGCTTAATTTCATAGGGGTGGAGGTAGGGTCAGATAGTAAACATGAAGACGCATGTAAAAAGATTTATGATCATTGGAAGTTCTCTTATGACAAGGAAATGAAATAGAAATAGGCTGGGGTGGGAGGTGGGAACTTTAGCAGGCACAGTCAGAAAGGCCTTTTCAAGGTGATGTTTGATGGGAAGGCACCGGCCATGCAGTGAGAAAGAGCATTCCAGCCCAAGGGAAGAAGGACAGAGGCCCTGAGATGAAACAGAAAGATGGCCCCAGTGGCTGCAGTGTAGCAGAGAGGGGAGAGGGTAAAAATAAGGGGCTGCTCCTCTGTCTTCTTTGTTGCTTATTCCTCTTCTCCCTAGTGTCTTAATGTTAAATGCGCCCCATGACCCTGTTCTTGGTCCTCTGCCTTCTCTGTACATATATTCTAGCTTGGTCAGTTAATTCAGTCTTGAATCTGAGTTCCCTCTTTATGATCATGGCAATGAATGTCATATCTCCATTCTAGCCCTCTCTCCTGAATTCTCTGTTGCCATATCTTAATATACCAGGCAGGGTTCAATCAGAGAACATAACTAGAAAGATCTGTTTCTCTTTTCTTTCTTTCTTTCTTTCTTTCTTTCTTTCTTTCTTTCTTTCTTTCTTTCTTTCTTTCTTTCTTTCTTTCCTTTCTTTCTTTCTTTCCTTTCTTCCTTCCTTCCTTCCTTCCTTCCTTCCTTCCTTCCTTCCTTCCTTCCTTCCTTCCTTCCTTCCATCCATCCATCCATCTATCTATTATCTATCTATCTATCTTGCAAGGATTTGGCTTATATGATCACGGGAGCTGACTAAGCAAGTTCATACTCTGTAGAGTGGGAGGTCAGGATCATGAGCAAGAAGGGACCCTACAGGTGTTGCCAGAAGCAGTCACTGAGGGAGGATCCAATGAGGAGAGAACAGTTTTTCACCTGGGTGCTGGTTGGAATTTGGAGTCTGGAGACTGCCAGTCTGGAGACTGGAGTCAAGGACACACCTGGTTAAGGCAGGCCCACCTAGGATAATCTTTTTTGCTTCAAGCCAGTTTATTGGGGACTTTAAATAGTACCTGCAAGATCCCTTCATGGCAGCACCTAGATTACAGTTGGGTTGAATAACTGGGTTGAGGTGTATGTGTGCTACAAAATGGGTGCTTTCCCTGTTGGTTGATTCCAAGTTGATTCCAAAATGGGTGCTTTCCCTGTTGGTTGATTCCAAGCCTAACCAAATTGATTCATCAAAATACCGTCGCACTGCCTACACTTCTCAAATTTAGCCCATTTCGAACAAACCCGTTTTGCCAAGTCTACTGCATTTTTTAATTTTTATTTTATTGATTATGCCATTACAGTTGTTCTATTCCCCCCTTCATTCCCCTCCACCCGACCCCCCCACCCCCACCATTCCCCCCCTTTAGTATATGACCATGTGTCTCAATTTCTTTAGATTCTATATTTCCCATACTATTCTTGCCCTCCCTATTTTCTACCTACCGTCTATGCTACTTATTTTCTGTACCTTCTCCCCCCTTCTCCTTCTCCCACTCCCCTGTTGCTAACCCTCCATGTGGCTCTGTGGATTGAGCACCGGCCTGCAAACCAAAGGGTCCGCCGATTTGCATTGGGGGCCAGGTCCCTGGTTGGGGGCATGTGAGAGGCAACCAATTTATGTCTCTCATATGTCTACGTTTCCCTCTCTTTCTCTGTCCCTACCCATCTCTCTAAAATAAATAAATAAAATCTTTAAAAAATAATGCTGCGGTAAACATGAGGTGCATATATCTTTTCAAGTTATTGTTTTCATTTTCTTTGGATAAATACCCAGAAGTGGAATTGCTGGATCATATGGTAGTTCTGTTTTTAATGTTTTTGGTGTTTCTAGGAACCACCAAACTTCCATTGGTTGCACCAATTTACATTCCCACCAATAGTGCACAGGGGTTCCCTCTTCTCCACGTCCTCGCCAACACTTGTTATTTCTATTATGTCTTTTTGGTAATAGCCATTCTAACAGGTATGAAGTAATATCTAAAATGTCTTTCTTTTTTTTTTTAATTTTTTTTATTGATTATGCTGTTACAGTTGTTCTATTCCCCCTTTCATTCCCCTCCACCCTACCCCCCCATCCCCACCATTACCCCCCTTTAGTTTATGACCATGTGTCTCAAGTCCTTTAGATTCTATATTTCCCATACTATTCTTGCCCTCCCTATTTTCTACCTACCGTCTATGCTACTTATTTTCTGTACCTTCTCCCCCCTTCTCCTTCTCCCACTCCCCTGTTGCTAACCCTCCATGTGATCTTCATTTCTATGTTTCTGCTCCTGATCTAGCTGTCCTTTTAGTTTGCTTTCGTTTTAGGTGTGGTTGTTAATATCTGTGAGTTTGCTGTCCTTTCACTGTTCATATTTTTTATCTTCTTTTTCTTAGATAAGTCCCTTTAACATTTCATATAATAAGGGCTTGGTGATGATGAACTCCTTGAATTTGATCTTATCTGAGAAGCACTTTATCTGTCCTTCCATTCTAAATGAAAGTTTTGCTGGATAGAGTAATCTTGGTTGTAGGTCTTTGGATTTCATGACTTGGAATACTTCTTTCCAGCCCCTTCTTGCCTGTAAGGTCTCTTTTAAGAAATCAGCTGACAGTCTGATGGGAAGTCCTTTGTAGGTGACTGTCCCCTTAGCTCTTGCTGCTTCTAGGATTCTCTCCTTCATTTTAATCTTGGCTAATGTAACTATGATGTGCCTTGGTGTGTTTCTTCTTGGGTCCAACTTCTTTGGGACTCTCTGAGCTTCCTGCATTTCCTGGAGACTTCCACCAAGATGGAGGCATAGGTGGAGACACCGTGCTTTCTCCCACAACCAAGTTTAGAGACAACAAAATATTAGCAACAGAAAACATAGCCAGAACACAGAAAATTGAACTTTTTGGAATTCTGATAACAATGAATTCTTCAGCCTGACCGGTAAAAGGGGCGAAGCCAGCAGCTGGCAGAGCGGGGTTGCACAGGAAAACTCGGTCAGAGGGACTCAGGTGCCCGGATCCCAGGTGTGGGGTTGCAACGGGGGGACTCAGAGAGCGACCCAGTGAATGACAGGCGGACGCAGCGAGGGTGAAGGGTGGCGGGTTGACTGTGGTTGCGCATTCCTGTGCAGATAGACCGGCGAGGGAGTGGGCAGTGAGATGGAACCAAACAGGCCCCAGCGGCCGAAAGCAGGAGAGGGGACCACCATTTCCCCTCTCTGACCCTGCCCCCACATACAGCGTCACAACCCAGCGACCTGGGCGGCCCCGCCCTGGTGAACACTTGAGGCTCCGCTCCTCATACTTAACGGGCCGAACAGACCAAAAATGGCTCAGGAAGATCTCAAAGCCCCAGAGCCCATAACTCTAAGCGACGAAGAAATAGCAAAACTTTCAGATGCACAGTTCAAAACACTGGTGATCAGGATGCTCACAGAACTGGTTGATTTTAGTCACAAATTAGAGGAACATATGAAGGCTAAACTAATTGATGAAAAGGAAACTGGGACTCAAATCAAGGGGGTAAACCAGAAGGAAGGAAAAAATGACCAAACAGGAAAATATGAAGAAACAAGAATTCAAAAAAATGAGGAGAGACTTAGGAACCTCCAGGACATCTTTAAATGCTCCAACATCTGAATTATAGGGGTACCAGGAGGGAGAAAGGAACAGCCACCAGTGGAAAACTTATTTGAACAAATAATAAAGGAGAATTTCCCCAATCTGGCAAAGGCAATAGACTTCCAGGAAATCTGCATTTTAATTGATGGCATCCCCCTTCTCGTAGCTGTTCAGGCTGGGCAGCTTGGGCACATGCCTGACTCTTCCCTTGTTTTCACACTTCACTTTAACTTGGTTGACAAATCCCCTATCTTCAAAATGTGTTCAGAACCTGACCACATCTCACCACCTCCTCCATCACTGCTCCCATCTGAGCCTCTATTGCATTTGCTTTAATTAATGCAATGACTTCCTAATTAGTCTTCTTGTTCCCAACTTCTCTGAAACTCAGCCTCCAGCCTCTAGTGTATTCTCAATGCATCAGGTAGAACAGCCTTTAAAAGCCCATCAGGCTATATCATTCCCCGTTTTAAACCCGATACCTCCCCATCTGATTCAGAGTTAAAGCGAACATCCTATCAATGCCTTAATGCCCAACCTAACTTATACCCTGTGACCCTCAGTAACCTCCTGCACTCCTCTGCAGGTTTCAACTGGTCTCTTCTTTAAGACATTTCTGCCTCAGGGCTTTGCATGTGCCATCCCCCTGCTTGGAATGCTGCTTCCCCAATATCCACATTGATTTTTTTCCCTTGCCTCTTTCCAGTTTTTATTAAATGCCGTATTATCTGTGAGGACTTTCTGCTCTACACTATTTAGAGTTTTGAGCTTGTTGGCTTTATTTCTCTCTATACCATTTATAACTCTTTACTCTACAATGTATGTCTCTATTTTGTTTACTGTCTCTCTGCTTCCACTAGAAAAAGTTCCATAAGAATAGGAATTTTATTTGCTTTGTTCTGTGCTGTATAGTCCTCGAGCTTGAAGCTGTGCCTGGCACATAATAGGCGTTCAATAAAGATTTGTTAAGTGATGGAGCGATGCAAGGACCATGTGCACATCTCACTGTCAAACTTCCTACAATGGACAATCGAGAGGCAGCATCTCCATCCGCCTGGGGTTCAAGGAGGGCTGTATTAGCTCAGTTCAAGGAGTAGAACAGGGCATCAGAGAGGAGAGGATCTTTTAAAAGAGTTTCCTTCTGTTTGAAAATATTTTGCTTTCAGATATTTTATACTTTTAGCACTCAGGTGTTAGAAAATGCATTTTTAAAATACTACAGGGAAAGTTAGTTTTGAAGAGCTTCACCAGGGAAGTTTAAATTGCTTTAATTATGAGTAGGGTGGAAAAATCTGCCATTGGAGAAGCAGCCTATATTTTAAATATATTTCAGCTTACATAATGGAAAGTATATTTAGACTTGTAAATTTATAGAATATCAGAAAATTATATTCTAATTGCTCTACATAGTTTTCCTAATACTCTTCCTGCTGTGCTGGGGAGAAGAAATGTGAAAAATTATGTAGCTGCTTTTCCTCCTCCCCCCAGTCTCTGCTAGCTTTTATTTGTGGCATCCTTTTGTATGTCTTTTTTTTCTGGACAAATGGAAAAAAGATAAACATTTTATACGAGCCAGATTTTTGGCTATAAATACCCAAGTTATATTTGTTTTCATCTTTTCTTTCTAAGATAACCTGCCGGAATTTTATTGGGAAACAACTCAAGATTAATCCTCCAACCAATAAAGTGACAGAAGCTGGAAACAGCCCAGATTCCCTAAGAAAGCTCATCGTCTCAGGTCAGGAGCAGTTTCAGCGGGAAGCTCCTTTCAAGTGGGGTTTGTGTTGTCATCTGCTTGCCAAACCTTCCATAATTAAAATGTTTGTAAAATCTTTTCTGCATGTTTATTTGACTGAAAATAATCCATTTGATATTTACCATCTTGTTTTGCTATGTTACTTAAGGGGAATTGAAACCCCTGTTCATTGGTTTAATGTTTAAGTTAAAGAAGGGCAACAAATATTTTTTAAATGGAGAAAGAAAATGGATGAGAAACATAAAGAGGAGAAAGACTGTTCTGTGCTATTTTCTCTGTTGTTATCTCACATGGTAACTCTTCACATTGACCTTTTGTTGATTTCTGTTTGGATTCCCATAATAACCTCTGTTTCCATAATCACTATAGATTGTTATTCTGTTGGCTTTACTGTGGAGCAGTGGTGTGTCTTTTAACTGGAGCACAGGAGAGGGTTTGGGAACGTCATGACTCCTTTGCTTTTAGCCGATAAGCCCTCTCTGAATATTTGGCAGTGCAGCGAGCAGGAGTGGAGCCATAGAATGAGATGAAATGGAGACAAGGCCTTCTCCCGGTTGTGCTTCTCCTGCATCTCGGATTCTGGTGCAGGGGAGAAATCCAGGTCTCCCTTCTGAGCTGCTGGCATTCTTCCATTTACTTATCTGTGGGTCTCACGTACGTATGTGTGTGTGTACGTAGGATAGTTCCTCTTGATCCCGGGCATGTGTTGGAAGACTTCCAGTGGAAGCCTGACACTGAGCAGTGCTGAATCCTGTATAAGGATTTTTTTCCTATACCTGCCTGACTGTGATACAGTGTAATTTTTAAGTTAGGCCTAGGAAGAGATTGACAATAGTAACTATTAATATGATAGAACAATTATAATAATACGCTGTGATGAAAGTTGCCTGAATATGGTCTCTCTGGTGCTCTCTGGTGACGGACCCGATGACCGAGATGCTACTCAGTAGCTGGTGAGCAGGCCGTGTGTGCAGCATGGACACACCGGGCACAGGGGGACTCACGTCCCAGGCAGGAAGGACCAGGCACAGTGTGAGGTTCCATCACCGTGCTGAGGCACGCAATTTAAAACCTATGAGTTGTTTACTCTGGAATTTTCCATTGGATATTTTTAGATCATGATTGACTGTGGGTAACAGAAACCACAAAAAGTGAGATCATAAGGGGGAATCTACTGTGAGCATTGACTTACTCGTTTATGGAGCTGGCTGTACAGTTATTCAGCAGACATTTAGTGAGTACCTACTACATGTCGAGCACTGCACTAGGGATTGATATACAGAGATGAATGAGACCAAATAAAGATATGTTTTCCAGAAGTTTACAGTCCATTGAAGGAGAACAATAAATAAAGCAGATATTATACAGTAAATCCTCACTAATGTCATTGATAGGTTCCTAGAAATTGACTTCAAGTGAAACTATGTAGAATGCAACCAATTTTACTGTAGACTAATTGGTAAAGACAAGAGTTAAGTTCCTCCAACATAGCTCTGGTCACAAAAACATCACCAAACTTCTAAAAAAGGACCCAAAGCACTTATAATAGTAAATGTCTAAATAAATGTGAGCCATCCGTACATGTAAGAAAGATTAATAACAACAGGTAAAATGATGGCTTTCCAATGTACTTATTCCAGATGAGGATCTTAGGTGGCTGAAGCCTCTCTGAGAGCTCAGGGCCCGAGGCAGGCATTTCCCCCGGGTGGGAAGTCCTTCCAACACAGGGCGCGTTCCCACACACATGCTCACTCAGACCGGGACAGTTCAGGTATGCCGGCCAACCTCACCTGTACACCTCTGGGATGTGGGAGGAAAAGGAGGTGTCAGAGGAAACCCTCGTAGACATGGGGAGAACGTGCGGACTCCACACACTGGCCCCCAGCCAGAATCAACTTCTTTTCTCATCAGCGCTGTCAAGAAGTGATGTGGAGTGAAAGAGCATTGTTTGAGAACCTGCAGTGGTATGGAGTGACAAGGTCTGCACTATTATAACTGCTGCTGCTATAAACAATAGCGGTTAACAGCTACTACTGCTTTTGAGAGACTGCATTTAATTTTGCAGGGCTAAGGTAAAAGGGCAAGGCAAAAGCTGAAGTTAGGAAGGTCAGCAGGAGTTAGAAAATACAAGAGTCTTAGAAGGCAGGATAAAGGGGGATTTGGATTTATCTGGAGAACTGTGGGGGTCTAGGTGAAAGGATTCAAGGAAGAAAGGTGAAGTGATTATATTTGTGTTCTGGAAAGACCCTTTGGCAGCAGCAGGGGACCTCAACTGAAAGGAGACCATGTAGAGACCACGTGGCTACCCCCGACGTGTGTCAGAGATTCGGGGAAGCCCCAGACCCAGCTGTGAGACTGCAGAGGGCAGAGATAGGAGAGGAAGGCTGAAGAGATGCACAGCACTGCGCTCTGTACTTACTTGTTGGATGGCGGGAATGGGTGAGGAAGGGAGGAGTTCAAGTTGCTTTGGTTTCTGGCTTGTGTGGCTAGCTGGATGTGATGTCTTCACTTGCGGAGAAACTGGGGGGAAGGGTGGGCCAGAAGAGAAGGTTACTTTGGAATTGCTAAGTTCAAGGTGCCTGGCTGACAGCTGAGCAGAATGATCCGGTACCTGGCGGGGTATACTACGAGGCATTCAGCAGAGATCTGTATTGTCATCATCAGTATATTGGTAGTGGTTGAAATCAGGGCCTTGTGTGAGGTCACCCAGGGAGAGAGATGTGGAGTATAGATCTTAGAAGGGCCTCATTTTGGAAGCTGTGTCAGTCACAACGGGCTGGGCTGTGTAGCAGCACCGAACAATCCCCAAATCTAATTGCCTTAACATCAGGGAAGTCTGCTGTTTTTGCCTGTGCTCCTGTGTTCGATGAGGTTGAGTACTGAGCTGCTGCTCGTCATGGGATAGTGGAGTCTCCATGTTAACGCAGCTTCCACAAGTGTTTCCAGGGCAGGGAACAGAGCACCAGGGCTACCCGTCACGGCCGTTATACTGAGAGGCAGGTGGTAAATGGCTAAGAGCACAGACTTGGAAACCAGACCACAAGTGCCTATACTGTATGTTTATTGCTAACGGCTTTCCATAAATGTCTTATTTAATTATTATAACAGCTCCAGTAAAGGAATTATTATTATTCATCGGACACCAGGCACTCCAGTGAGTGCTTTGTGAGTACAGGCCTAACTCGGAGAGACTGCGGGTTTGGTTCTGGACCACTGCAGTAAAGTGATCATCGCAGTGAAGAAAGCCACATGAATTTATTTTTGCTTTCCCAGTGCATATAAAAGCTGTTTACACTATACTGTAGTATATTAAGTGTGCAATAGCGTTATGTCTAAAAAATTTCCATACCTTAATTTTAAAATACTTTATTGCTAAAAATAATGCTAACCATAATCAGAACCTTTAGCAAGAAAATGGTGCTGATAGAATTGCTTGATGCACAATTGCCACAAACCTTCAGTTTGTAAACAAAAACGCAACATCTGCAGGGTGCAGTAAAGCAGCATGCAGTAAAACAAGGTGTGCCTGCATTACCTTCCAACACCTAATGTGGAAGGGCTGCTATCGTCTCCACTTTACAGGCAGGAAGAAGAATGGATTTTATAGCCTTTTTATATTTTATAATTTGATATTCACGAGTTCTATATAAATCATATGGTGGCTCCTCACGCTGCCCTTTGAAAGTGACACAGACCACTTCTGCTGACACTTCACTGGGTAAAGTCACGTGGCTGCGCTAACTTCAGAAGGGGCAGGGAAGTGCGGTCGGTCGGTCCTACTCTGTAGCCTGAGGACGAAGAGACACCGAGTCCGTGAAGGGCCCTAATGTCGGTCACAGGAGCAAACAGAGGAAGAACAATGTCTGAGAGAGGTCGGGAGGTGGCCTGAGAGGTGGGGGGTACAGTGGATGAGGGCCGTATCAGTGAGGCCCGGGTAAGAAAGACCGAGCAAGAGGCAGTGGTCAGCAGTCAGAGAGCTCACACGTGAGGACAGACGGCTATTGCATATGGGTGGTCATTGTCACCGGTCTTTGTGCTGTGACACTGTCATCTTCGGGCCTTGCTCTAACAGCGTCCCCTTCCTGAAATGCTCCTCCCCATCCAGACGTCTGTCTGATAACCCCTCACCTACTTGAAGTCTGCGTGAACACCACACCTTTTCACGGAGGCCTACCCTGGTCATCGTGTTTAAAACTGCACCCTGCTCGCTTCCTCCCACTTCCTCGTACTTTGCCAGACATTTCCTTTTTTTCCTCTGAAGCACATAAACCACCCATCACGTACTGTATAATTCAGTGTTTTATTGTATTTATTAATTACTAATCTGTCTCCCTGATACAGTGTCAGGTCTGTGAGGGCAAGGATCATTGTTTTGTGCATTTATATAATCCAAATACCTTTGTGGGTGTCTGATCCACAGCAGACACTCAATATCTATTTGCTGGATGAATGACTCTGTGACTCTGTGACATAACAAGAGTGACTTCAAAGAAGTGGTGGAGGGGAGTGGAGGTATTTGAGAGGTGGTTGCAGTCCTGGTGAGCTGTGCCTGCACAGAGTCACTGAGTAGAGAACTGCCTTTCACTGCAGCAGGCAGAGCAGTGACAAGAAAGACAGGGGTGGCGACAGCTGGAAGGAAACGTGGGGCTCAGGAGGGCTTTGCTTTGTTTGTCTGCTTTTAATAGCAGAGAAGGAGCGTATTTCTATATTAAATGGAAAGAGCCAGTGGGGAGAGAGAGCTTAGAGACAGGAAAGATATTTGATAGGGCAACAAGCTTGAGGAGAAACTGGCAGGGGGTGGGATGCAAGGGAATTGGCTTGGACAGCAGGGTGGAACACCCAGGGCGGAAGGGGCGAAGAGAATAGGTTCAAATGTGGGTGAGTGTGTAGGTGGGAAGGGTAGAAGTCAAAGGCGTTCTCACTGGGTACTAAAGATTTTCTTAATGAAGCAGCAGGGGGTTGGAAGCATAGTCAAGGTTGAT